TATCAATTGTTCAATGTTATTCACCTGTGTCTCTGTCTTGTGGAATCATTCCCATAGCTTCCACGAGGAGGATGGAGTGATATTGTTTATCTTATATTTCTATGCTTCAAAACATGGTAAGAGTGTGTTTTTCAATTATATTGTTAACTGCAAATTAATTGTTCAACCATGGTCGTGGACATTTCATTTTTTTTTCCTCCATTACTCTGCCCTCTGTCTTTTTCTACTTCCAACATGAAGATAAATCCTCCAACCATACCCAAACCAAAAACATCAGATTAAAAAATCACGCGCACAGTTGAAAGAAGACTTCATCAAATTGTTATAGAATTGACTCAACACATGAAGATAAATGTTCAAATTATTTAATTTTGTTGTCAATGGCATGAAATAAACACCAGTAACACTATGTACTTTCAACAAGCCTAGGGGGTATTGCGATGAATTTTGGCATATGTTAGAGTTAGATTTCATGCAAATATCTATAGTATAGTAGATTTCTTAGCAAGCTTTGGTGCCACCTGGGAATTGAAATAAACCGTACATTGATAGGATAGACCAAGAAAAAGCATAAAATTAACAAACTGTTGATTCCATAGATAAATGGTAGCGTGAGAGAGGGAAGACATGACAAAATCCCAACCTTTATTCAAATAAAACCTAATTAAGATTCCATAAAAATTTAATAGTCCTCACACACACACACACACTCACACACACAAAAAATATAGCTCTCATATTTGGAGCATAGGTTATCAATTTCTCAATTTTCGACGACTCTATGTCAAGATCTCTCAAATATTGAATTTTCGAACTCTAATAGACCAAATGAAAAATATTAATGTACCAAGGAATACAAAAACCACGAAGAAAAAGAAAAAATCACCGTTATATGAATGTATGCATTATCACTTGGATATGCATTAGTAATGAGACATACATTTTGCAAAGAAATTGCACCAAAACCTGACAAGGCTGGGACATGGGGAAAACAAAGGAAGCGTTAAATGTTCAACCCTTACAAAAACAAGAGGCTGAATTGGGAAACTTTTGAGGCCTCGTCCATTACCCGGGATCGGGTGTGTGACTTTGTAGCCGAACTTACCGACTGATGAGATTCATGAGAACGATAACCTTCAAATAGTAATTGTTGAAATGTTTACTCAAAGAAATTATAGGGCATAATCTCAGCTCCCTTTTAAATTTCCTAAAACAGGTTTTTAATTGAACGAGACTCATCGGTTAGAAATCTGAACAGGCTAATACAAATGTCTTTTTTGAGTTTATGAAGGGTAAAAAAGGGAATTTAAATTTCCTAAAACAGGTTTTTAATTGAATGAGACTCATCGGTTAGAAATCTGAACAGACTAATACAAATGTTTTTTTTGAGTTTATGAAGGGTAAAAAAAGGAAGTAAACGTTTTTCTTGGTAAGCCACTTTTAAGAGTAGTAATATAATATAAATATAAATTTTTTTAATTTTATTTTAACCTCACCACACACCTTTTAAACCAATAGTGGATTTATAATTAGGTTTTTTGTTCAACAAACGAATGAATGAATCATAGCCAGAGATAGCGATGGTGGTCTTCTTCTAATGTCTCTAAGTAGACCATAATAGAGTTAAGACTAGATTATTGTAAAATAAAAATATGATTTTACTCACATATTACTTGCATTAATTAAAATCCAACTTAAAATGCATGAATCTAATTATTGATTTTTATTTGTTTATGGAGCCAACTCATAAGTATTGGTATTAATCGATATTTTGAACCATAATAAGCTTGACTTGACTATTACTAATTACCCTCAGACAAATTGACTCAGATACAACTCAATCGAATCGCTCAAATTATACAAAACTCAAAATTTATACATATCATATAATAATTAATATCGATATTAATAAAAATTTTAAACCATGATAAATTCGTCTTGATTATGACCTGTCAACCTCTGACTCGAGGTGTGGTCAACTGTTAAGTTGAGTTCAACTTCATTTTGATTTTATTTTTATCTTTGGTTGGATAAGGGGGAGCCGACTCAAGTCGCTCAGATTTTTCACCAAGAACAAATTATCTATCGTCACAAACAACAACAATATTTTCGGTCACAGGCTACGTTGAACTGTTTATTTTGATCGTATGTTAACTCTGTTTGGACTTTGGCTTTGACCAATTGGGGTGTAAAACAGCTCTCCTTGTCGGACAGGTATTCAAATCAGGCGACGATATTGTGCTTGTGACCTTCTATGTCTCACCTACCCGTGACCACAAATGACCTTCGAACAACAAAACCCACCCGATTGGCTCCCTTTCCCTTTAACCAATAAAAAGAAACCACGTTCACATATTCACTTCGCGTAAAGAGTCTCATTATTTTCTGGAAAATACCCCCACTTTTTGTCCAATTTCCATAGCGATCGCACGTTTCTCACACCCTAGTGCTTCGCCAAACTGCATACTCTCTCTCTCTCTCTATCTTTCTGTATTTCTTTTTGTACTTTTTTGTTCCTTTTGTTTCGCTGGGGAACTCATTCCGGCGGACTGGAAATACCACTATACCAGGTTCCGGTGTAGTTGTTTCTACGACGGCGTCGTTTCGTTGAGTGAATTAGGGTTTGGTTGAGAGTTGAGTTGAAAACTTACAACTCTAGGGTTATGAAGCAAAAAGAGAACGTTCGATTGGGGCTGAGTTGAGAGGTCAGATTTCGTCTCCGGATGGAGGGAGGTAGCGTCTCTAGACTTACTTCTTCTGGTAACTGTTCATTTCCTCTTTCGACTAGGTCGTTATTTATTAGTATTAGTTGATAAAACGAGTGTAATCTCAGTGGAAGTTGAGGGATTTTTTTTTAAACTTTTGTTGAAATGGTAAGTATAATCTGCTAAGAGATATATTTTTTTCCCCTTAAGAAGGTTTGAATGGATAGGGAGAATCTAGTTGGTATAAACAATTGTGATTTTAGGGTTGAATTTTTAATTATTTATCGTGTTGGGAAAAGTTTGCTGTTTTGTGGTTCTGAGTAATTTTTTGGCGGATTTAGGTCAAGCATGTGTGTTTTGTTGATTGGCTTGAACTAGTGTTTGTGTGGAATGTAGTCTTGCTGATAGTTGGAGGTTGAAGGACCCTGGAATATTAGTTTACCATTAACGATGTGTGTGTTCCTTTCTTCCTCCCTTTTTCTTGTTGGTTTGTGAAGATGTTGTGTTAATTGCTGTCGTAATAACAGTACAGTATTTGAAGTATTGATGTTACATTGATTTGAGTGCTTACAAAGATTATTTAAGGTTTTTTCACAGCCATAAATCATGAATGGCCCCGCTCCACCACACAAATACACAAACACCCCTTATAAGTGAACTTGACTATTTGAAATCTGATGCTCAAGTCTGTTTGGAGTTTTGGGATATAGTTTTGTTGCCTTGCATACTAAGAGTTTTATGAAGGAAAATGCTTGCAGGAAATTGGAACCTTATTTGAAATCTCTAAAGTTGCACATATTTTATGTGCAGTTTTCTTTGTCTTTAAAATGTCCTTGAAGTTGTCAATTAGTTATGAGAATGGCATGTGGCATTGTACTTAAAACATTCCTTGAAATATTCACTTAGTTATGCCAATGGTGTGTGGCTGTATCCCCTAAAACCAAATTTAATCTCCGCTTTAATGATGTAGTTAGCAGGAATGGCTAATAATAAGTTTAGAGAAAGTGCATTTACCCTGACCCCTACTTAGAAAGAGAAACTCCCTCTCAGTTTGTTGTGTACCCAGTATGCAGAGGGTAGGTGCAGAGCCCATGGGGACAGGAGAGTGGAGTGGGAGAGAGAGATTTTCGCTGGGTATGCTCAGTTGAGTGGAAGCAGGGCTCTCCCTGTAGGTTATGCAAGGTGTGATGCGAATTCGGTGCATTGGGTTTAGTTTCCTTTCCTTTTTAAATTATTTTAGTTTATCTGCCAACTTGACTACACCTGGGAGGGTTGGGGGAGTGGCAAGGAATTTCTTGCTGAATGCTGATGAAATTAGTCCCAGCGGCGAGGGAAGTCGAATTCTATAGAACAAGACCAAATGTAGACACAAATGAAGTTTTTGGGTGTAAAGGTATACAATGGAGGGGGTATTTATGATGTATTTGTGAGGTCCCTCCCCAGACCCTGATGTGGCAGGAGACTTGTGCGCTGGACCACCCTTTTTATGTGGAATCAATAAGTGTTGTGAGGTGAAGAAGACAGGGGTCAACAAGTGACTATGGAGTGTGGATGGTGGCAACCTTCTTTGGTCTTGCTCTCCTTCACATTTTTAGATGGTTGTAGATGGTCGGTTAGGTGGCATTTGTGCAGAATCCCGACTTTAGCTGGGATTGGGTAATATATTCTTTGAACTTGCCCCTAATCTAAATAAGCTACTCTGAACCAAATCCCACTACATGTGGACAGGTGGATTATTCAATAATATTCAATAATCAATATCTGCCCCCTGTCATCCCTGAAGATCACTACACAGTTGAATAAACTGATACATACAGCCTTCCAAAATTCTTTCATATGTTTCCTGCATGAGGGTGGTGAATCATTTGAGCTTTTTTTGGTCATGAAATCTTGGAATAGAGATTGGTTATGCCTAGCAACATACTTGCTGATCCAACAATGTCACTTACTGAAAATGCTGTCACATCTATACCCTTAAAGTACAATTCCGGCAGAATATTGCCTTACGAGCTTAAAGGCAAATACTTGAATAACTACGAAGCAATTAGGGATCCCACATTTTTAGGTGTAGTGCATATGGCATTCTTTCTTTTGATGTTATGTGTTTATAGAACTTAGTACACTTGACCAAAAGTTCTGCTAGATATTGTTCTCAATGGTTTTAATATAATTTTCTTGTGAATCTACTCTCTGTACACAAAAAAGAAAAGAACAAGAAAAAAAAGACGCCTTCTAATATCTGTGCAGGATTTCTATTCTTTTTCCCAACTTTATTTTTGTTCCCCTATTTAGGGATACACCAATGGATTATGATGACAATGATTTTCAAGGCCAGAATCTCCACTTAGCTGGTGAAGGGAGCTCTAATTTTTCTCCTGTTTTGCGCCCATATGCTCTTCCCAAGTTTGATTTTGATGACAGCCTCCAGGGGCACCTAAGGTTTGACAGTTTGGTTGAAAACGAGGTTTTTCTTGGTATCCCAAGTCAGGAAGACAATCATTGGATTGAGGATTTTTCTCGGGGCAGTAGTGGGATAGAGTTTAGTCCAAGTGCGGCTGAATCTTGCTCCATTTCAAGGCGTAAGAATGTGTGGTCTGAGGCAACATCCTCAGAAACTGTTGAAATGTTATTAAAATCTGTTGGGCAGGAAGATATGGTCCCTGGAGAAACTATAATTGAGGAAGCAGATGCAGTTGATGAATTGGGTAGCTTACCCAAGGAAATGGAGCCTAATTTGAAGCAAGATGATAGAATTGATGAGGTTACAGACTCACAACCTGCAGTACCCCCAGATGAGTTTGCAGAAAACTTTTCTGGATTGACCCAGAGTGCTCGATGCGAGAGACCTGTTGTTGAATGTACTTCGTTGACTCAAGAGGCAGAACTGTCTGCTTATGGAAGTTCAAGCGAGTTGGATCCAAATGCTGTTAGTGAAAAGGGTGGGTCATTTGTGATTCAAGAGAATTTGGGTATTGACAGGACATGCAATGATGCAAAGCTAACAAATGTTGATATTTTAGTAACTAAATCTCTGGTATCCACAACGCAAGAGGATTCTGGGATGCAAATTAATAATGTAGACTCCTCTTTAGATAATGTTGTTGGAAGCACGGCGGAGTTGAGTGATCAGGAAATCCCCCATCAGGTAAGTGGTACAACTTTTGAAAACACAAAGGATTTATTAAAAGATACTGATAAGGGAGTGGAGGAAGACAGTGTTGCTAGTAAAGCAAGCAATATGGGTGATCCTTCTTTGAGGGGAACTGTAGTTGAATCTTGTACTTACAATTTGGATAGTCCTGTTTGTGTTGCGTCAAAGGTGGAATGTGGAGAAGACCATGCATTGGGAACTGGTATCACTAATTTGGAGGACCCTTCCAATTTGGTAACAAAGGGTAGTGATGCCCTCAAGACAGCTGAAGCTTGCAATGAGGATGTATGCCCCACAAACCCTGATGAGGGCATCGAGTGTAAAGTAATTGTTCATTCTGAAGGCAAGGAGGTTAGTCAGCAGGAGTCTCTTTTTGGAAGTGATAGCCAGATGAATAGAGGGGCTTCAGTTGGTGGTCCCGAGGCAGTTTTGTTGCCTGTAGTGGAGAATGAACCTTTTAGACAGGGTGATGGAAGCAGCGCAAATCGTTTGGGTGATCTTGCTAGCTTCACAGCGGCATGTTCTTTGGGCGAAGTGCTCAAGGGAAAATCTGGTTTTGAAAACTCAAAAGGAGGCAATGATGCTTCTGGAGTCCACCAAAAGGACCTGAATTCTGTAGATTCTGACTTGTCACCTGTTCTTGATGAATCCATTCAGATGTACAAAGAGAATGCTTTCTCTGAGCAGGATGAGGCTAGAAACAATGACAGAGCTGCCCCTTCTCATGAAAATATGAATGCAAAGGTGTCTGTTGAACCTAGTTATGTAAAATGTGAGATTATTGGATCTCTTGACATTGACAAGACGGTTGGATCCTTGTCCACTGGTAAATGTATCAGAAAAGATGTATTTAACTCTGATGTATTTGAATTTGATAATATGTCTGAGAAGAGACCAGGTACATCATGGATTTATTGATTTTGGATGTTCAAACATTGAATCATCCATAATATATAAATGTTTATTCACCATTCTTTCATTCTTCTTTGCAGCATTGGAAGATACTTGCTCGGCATCCTGCGGCATTTTGGATGATGTGTCCTTACTTTCTGGGAATGGCAGTAGTGCCAATGAAGTTATTGATCACAGTAAGGAGCAAAAGTCAACCATTTCTGTTGTAGGGCTTGCACAACTGGATAAGAAGGAAGAAATGGAAGTTGAAGTCCCTACAGAAGCAAGTTTATCAGACCTGAAGGAGTGCTCACAAGTGGCAAGGAAGCTAGGTTCTGTTTCTAAAGGTCTTCTTTTCGAATTTGAAAAAGGTTCATCTCATGATTGTGCTGCGCAAATGCTCAGTGAGACAGCTGATCAGTCAGTGTCCTTGGTGGAGGCTTGTGGTACAGAAAGCCACAGTGAGAAAGCGGTGGTGGCTGAAGAAGTTAATCAAGTTTGCTCGGAGGCTCTGGAAGTAGAGCCTGTTCCCTGTGAACCTAGTGTAAAAGAGGGTGATGTTCCTGAAGCAGTAGCTATCAAACAACATAATGAAATGACGGAAAAAGGTCACAAAGTGGCACCATTATATGCAGGTGCTTTGTTCTTTAGTAATTTGAGATGTTTTGTTTCTATGTGAGGTATTATATATATATTATCAGAGTTTGGATTGGTCGCCTTGATGTTGTTTTATTATGCTGTTCCAGCAAGATTGCTACTTTCTAGTTGGGGTCATGATGTCGTTTGGCTATCAACGTTATGTCCATTTACTTTTTTTTTTTTGTCTCTCGTTCTTGCTCTACTTCCTAGACCACATCATTGTTGATTGGTGCACTCGTTGGTCTATGTGGCGAATTTATCTCAGCGACTTCCTGTCATCTTGTCTTTGAGTATTTTTACATGTAACTTCCATGAAATATGCAGTTTTTCTAATGCACGTCTTGTTAAATTATTTTAATGCCGCAACAACTTTCGCGCAGCTCATTGTTTGTTGCTTTTGAGTCCTAGTCCCCGACATTCCAGCCTTTTATTGATAGGGATTTTACTGATGCTGAAGGGCCTTTTTTCCTTCTATTGTGTCTATCTTTCCGGCTCCTGACCATAGTTCTATCATTTGAAGGTTCTTCTCAATCTGGCTAGACGCCCTTCCTTATGGAGGTTATGTGCAGTCTGAGATTCTGACTGTGAAAACAAATTAGACTCTAGGTATAGCGTTGCCCATGGATGCTCCTCTCCTTGCTTTTGAATGCCATATTTGAGAATCTATTTTGGACTTGAGTTAGAAATGGTATTTTTCCATTCGAATTTTTGGGTTTTGGGCTTGTGCATTCCCAATCCCTTCCTTAATGATATGATTTAGTAGTTGCGTGGTCAGCTCCCTTCTATACCCAAGTCTGTGTCTGGCAGTGCATGAAATAGAGACCACAGCTTGCTTGTTACGGCTTGAACGACCATAACATTCTGATCAACAACTGTAGAATATGACCAGGTGTCCTTAAATAAGATGGTGTGCGTGTATATTTAAAATTTAAATATTATATCTTGGATAAGGATGTGTTTGGTGTTGGTACATACAATCAGCACTTGTCTGTGGATGTCTGTTATAATGCATTTATGTTAAGCTCAATCAAGGTATGCAATATGCAATATTTGATAAATTTTGAATCTGATTATCCATTGTACAGACATACATTCAACTCATATCAACGATGCTTGCCATTGTCAAGATTTAGATGACAATGACTTTGTAAGACAATTTTTTAAACTTCAAGAAATCGTGCTTGAGAATGTTTAGTTGATTGCTTATATAATCAACTATTTGTTGTATCTTGGTGTCTATGCTGCTTTCCTAGCGTGTAGTCGTCAAGTCAACGATAGTAGCTGTTGACAATTATTTATGTTAATAAGTGATTTTTATATGAGTCTATTATTCACTTCTCTTTAATGATCGGCATCGACAAATGGTAGAAAGATTTAGTTAAGTTGTATGTCAATAATTAAAAATTTATTTTGGATTTTCATATACTAGCAATTTTGATAGTATTTCAGTGCAGGAATATCAAAATACAATTTGTTTTGAAGGTTCTGCTTCCTTAAGAGCATCTTCAATAGGCTTTTTATTGCCACTCAATTCTCTAAGATTCTTTATTTAATCTCTTTAAAATAAAGAGTCCAATTTGGCTCTCCACATTTGGAGAGTCAAATTGACTTTCTGCTCTATTTTTTGGGAATAGAAAAAGGGTATATTTGTCTTTTCATCTAAAACATTCCGGATAAAATATATCTCAATGCTAAAAAGAAGGGAAAAAATGGGGGAAGTCAAATTTATTCCTAAAACGGACAAAGCATAAAATAATAAATTGATGAGAATAAAGAGTCCTATTGGAATGGTATCCAGCATTTTACTATCTATTTTAACTTTTTTCCAAAGATGCCCTTTATTTTAGAGAACACTATTAGAGATTCTCTAAGACTTGATATATGTGGGTGTCCCGAAATGCATAAATGAAAGGAAATACAGGATAAAACTACAAGAAAGAGTGAAATGAAATGATTTGACAACCATGATCCTTTTATACAACATAAGTGATGCTTATGTTTCCGTAATCATTCCCTTGTTCCCTGCTCGTGCTTTTACTGATTGCTAGAATGGGTTCTGCAGCTGATGCTTCAGCTGACCATCAAGTGCCCTCTGATCTTGACCGCCCATCTGAGTGTGGTGCTAATCGCATGCTTGAAGATGGAGGAAGCTCTGCCGAATCTGATAAGCCTAGTTGTGATTCACCCACTGCTTTTAGTTTCACCGAGCTTTCTCAAAGCGAAAAAAACAAGCAAGAGGGGCTCAAGGGGGTGGTTGCTGAGAAAACTGGTGTGGTTTCCCTGAATCAGAAAGAAAATGACTCCTCGAGAGAAGAAAGGGGCTTTACCTTTGAGGTCAGTCCAGCGGTGCATATCTCTGAGGGAGAAACTGGCAAGGTTTGGCAATCATTTCCCATTCTTCAGGCTTGTAGCATATCAACGGTAATTTTAATGTTAAGACTTTGTTCTGCTCTAATAGCCACCTCACGTTTTAGTAGTTTGTATCTATTTTATTCTTTATACTTCCTAAGGATTGTTGTCATTAATTTCATTGAAGATTGTGGAGGGATCACCGTTAACATCTGCTGCCGGGAAAATGGATCCTAAGATGGTGCAGGAAATTTCTTGTGGAAGTCCTCAAGCACTTGACGAGGGAATTGTCAGTGGAAGTGCCAAAGATACCTCTGAGAGGAAAAGAAGGCGAGCAACTGGAAAGGCATCTGCAAAAGGCAACTCAAAAAGAGGAAACAATGCGAATGAAATCACCCTTGTGAGACTGTCAGAAAGAGGGACCAAGTCATCCAATAGGTCCAAGAGTCCCTCTGGGACCAGCCAGCTTGTGCAATTCGAAGAGTTGAAGTCCTATGGGAATCTTGAACACAGTGGCCCAAAACCATCTGTTGTCATCTCTATTCCAACTTGCAATCTACCAGATTTGAACACTTCAGCTCCTTCGTCTGCATTGTTTCAACAACCTTTCACCGATTTACAACAAGTGCAATTGCGAGCGCAAATATTTGTTTATGGATCTCTTATGTGAGTCCTGTGTTTTGTTTATTGTCATGCCTATTTTGATGGAAGAAATATGAAAAGAGGGGAAGTGCAATTGCAAGTTAGGCATTTTTTTATGGTTCCTGATGTAAGTCCTATTCTTAGTGTACACACATTTGATAGAAAAAGAATTTTAGAAGGAGAATGGAAGAAGTGTGGCTTGTAGTATAGCTAATTTTATGGCTTGGGGAGGAGAGGAAGTTAGGGCTCATGACAGTCTGTTGATGCCATTGACTTGTCAGTGGTGGAGATTTTAAGGAACACAATGGGGTCCTTGGAAACTGGCTGTAAATTGATATCTTCAAATTATAAGATCTTGGGTGACTGTTCAAAAGAACTTTTCAGTTTGATGATGGTAGTTAGTAAGTGCATCAACCTCTTTGATGAGGTGGGGATTGATGGTTATGTGAAATTTACACAAGTAAAATGATTATGTAGGGAGTGTCAAATGCTAGGTTTATGGAATCTTCTGTTTGTGTGGATTGGGTCATTACTCAGTTTGGTGTTTCTTATTTACTATGTCTGTCATACGAAGTCTAACTCACTCAATTATAAATCGTTATTGTTGCAGACAAGGAGCAGCACCAGATGAGGCTTGTATGATTTCGGCCTTTGGGCCATCTGGTTAGTTTACTTGCACAAAATGGTTTTGCTGCTTGAGATAAACATGCAGGCATGTGTTCAGCATCTGACATTTTTTATTTACAGAAGGTGGGAGGAGTCTTTGGGATCCTGCATGGTGTGCTTGTGTGGAGAGGCTCAATGGTCAGAAATCCCATGCCAACAATTCTGAACCCCCTGTGCAATCACATTCAGGTACCTTGAAATCCTCAGTGTTCCATTTTTTATTACTTTTGGCTAACATCTAATGGAATTTAGAATTGAGAAATGCAGGTGCTAGAGTTCCTGATCAACCAACTAAACAAAGTTCACTGCAAAATAAATCTCTTTCTTCATCTATTGGTCGAGCTAGCAGCAAGGCTTCTCCACCAACTGTTGTGAATCCCGTAATACCCCTTTCGTCACCTCTTTGGAATGTATCGACCCCTTATTCTGAAGGTTTGCAATCAAGTCGCGGGATGCTTTTTGATTACCATCAGCCTTTATCTCCCTTGCATCCTTTTCAGACTGCACCTATTCGGAATTTGGCTGGACATAACTCTTGGATATCTCAGGCCCCATTTCCTGGTCCTTGGGCTACTTCTCCACAAACTTCTGCCTTTGATTACAGTGCTCGTTTTTCTGCATTGCCTTTTACAGAAACTGTAAAATTAACTCCTGTCAAAGACTCTGGCATAAAGCATGTGGCACCTTTTTCTGTGGCTCAGACTGGGAATCCAAGTGTTCTTTCTGGGACCTCTTCTCCACAAGAAGTGAAGAAGGTGACAGTGTCACCTGGGCAACCTTCTACTGAGCCAAAGACTAGAAAGAGGAAAAAGGCTTCTGTTTCTGAGAATCTGGGCCAGATCTCTCTGCTTGCTCAAACTCGGTCAGAATTGATGTCTACCCCTGTGGCTAGTAAAAAGGTTTCCGTTTGTGAGGGTACTGGACAGATCTCTTTGCTTGCTCAAACCCAGACAGAATCAGTATGTGCTCCTTTTGTTACTGGTCATTTTTCTACAGCAGTTGCTGTCACAGCTTCTTCATGCTTTGCATCTAAAAGCAGTTCCAGTAAATGTCTTATAGCTGCATCTCCTACATCTTCCACTGATCATCCAAAAAAAGAGGATCAGAATCTGGAGAAGAGGGTTACAATTTCAGAGGAGACTTTTACTGAGGTTGAGAAGGCTAAGTTACAAGCAGAGGATGCTGCTGCTTATGCTGCTACTGCAGTTAGCCAATGCAAAGGTGTATGGAATCAGTTGGACAATCAGAAGAATTCTGGAATGATTTCAGATGTTGAAGCTAAGTTATCTTCTGCAGCTGTTGCAATAGCAGCCGCTGCTTCTGTGGCAAAGGCGGCAGCTGCAGCTGCCAAGATCGCATCAAATGCTGCAGCACAAGCAAAACTAATGGCTGATGAAGCATTGGCCCCAAGTGGAACAGGCAATGCTGTGCAATCTAATGCAATGTCTCATCTCAATGTTGTGAAAAATTTCGGGACAGCTACTCCTGTATCCATTTTGAAGAGTGGGGATGAAAGCACTTCTTCCAGTTCAATCATTGTTGCTGCAAGGGAAGCTGCTAGGAGGAGGGTTGAAGCTGCTTCAACTGCCTCAAGGCATGCAGAAAATCTTGATGCTATAGTAAAAGCTGCTGAACTGGCAGCAGCAGCTGTATCACAAGCAGGAGCAATTGTTGCTATGGGCGACCCTTTGCCTCTGAGGGAGTTGGTAGAGGCGGGTCCAGAGGGCTATTGGAAAGTTCCCCAGGTATCTTTTGATCAAGCAGTGAAATCAAACAATGCATATAGAGATCAAGCGAATGTAAATATTGCTGAAGAGGGTCCTAGTATGTATGCTAGACAACCTTTCAATCAGGGGATGCAGACCACAAACCCTGGTATGCCACCTCGTCCAAAAGAGGTTTCTAGGGATTTGATGGAAAGCAATGTGAGGTTGGTGGATGGCATCTCGGGCTCTGTTACTAGCGGTCAGAGGGATTCAAGAGGACAAAGGGCTCATAGAGCTTCCACCTTGGCCAAAACCATTGGGGTAGTTCCGGAATCAGAGAGTGGATTAGGATCTACTTCTGTATCTGTTGAGGATGAATTTGAAAATGTGACAGGGACGTTGAAAGATAACATCATCAGGGAGGGTTGTCTTGTTGAGGTTTGTAAACTTTTCTTTGTTGATTCTATTCATGCTCCTTCCTGGCCTTTGATAACTTGCCATGTTTTAAGATTTTGCTTGCATATTTTCTTTTAGCCACTTCTGTTCATGTTATGTTGCAGGTTGTCAAAGTAGGTGGTGATGGTAAACTAGCCTGGTTCCCAGCCAATGTACTAAGTTTGAAGGATGGAAAAGCATTTGTCTGTTACACTGAACTGCACTCAGATGAAGGTAAGTTTCCCTGGTCTTGCCTAGTGTGTTACTTATAGTTATTGGAAACTGATTAAATGTGTGGACCGCTGAATATTTAATGGAAAGAACTTGAAAAACGAATTTTATGAATGCACAATGAGACAAGCTATGTGGCCATTTTCGTGTTTGCATCAGAGTGACACCTATGAAGGAATCTGGTGTGTTTTTGTCCAATTTTGTGGAAAAAAAATTAATTTAAGTTAAACCTGCCCTATACATTGGAAAAGATGCTACTTGTGGGTCAGCTTTTTTGTTTGACTATTTTTTTGTAGACTGCTTTGGTATTGGCATTGTTATTCAAGTTAACAAACCTTTAGATTTTGGTGGTGATGCATGGTGACAATAATTTCTAAGGTGGTAGACAGTCAAAGAGTTGGGTTCACTGCGCCAAAAAATGATTTTGGTCATGCCCTAAACATCGTCCCAAAGTTGCAAGCCTGTGTATTACTTCTCATGTTTCATTGTGATGCTTTGAGAAACCTAAACTTCCTAAATACGTATGAAAACAACAATTTGCCATTTGTACTTTTGCTATGGATCACTTGTTTTATCGCTGTTATCGTACTGGACATGATATTTGAAGTGGTTTTGTTTTATGCTAAGGAGTTGTATAGGAATTTGCATTGTCATGTGTTATGTATTTTTTATGAGAATGGTCCCGGTTTACGTTGGCTTTATTACAACTATTATTGTTACTTGATTTTTCTTTTTAACTTTTCTGCTCTCCGTGTATGTGGGTAAGTATTGTCCTGACTCAGATTTGCTCATTTGTTCAGGGTCAGGGAAGCTAAAGGAATGGGTACCACTTGAAGGTGATGGCAAAAAGTCGCCCGGAATTCGTATTCCCCACACTATGACTAGTGTTCGTGTTGACGGAACAAGGAAGAGGCGCAGAGCACCTGCGAGGGATTATTCTTGGTCTATTGGAGATAGAGTTGATGTGTTGATGCAAAATTGGTGAGCATGTGTATATTAGCATTACATATTTTTCTTGATGAGAAGATGCCTAATTGAGTTAATATATTATGTCTTTTGGTATACTTATTAAAATATTTGTGATTCCCCTGTGTTTTAGCTTAGTGAATAGTGTTCTGTGGCAGAAGGCATATAGACACACTACCAACAGATCTACAGCTTCTATATTTAGGAGTGCCTGCATGAGGGATAAGCCTCTTTCCTTTCATGATAATCGTTTTTGTCATTAGAAATTCAAGATATTTTTTGAAGAATGTGCCAATATATTCTGTTCATGCTTTAGTGTAGTGGTTTTTTTTCTACTCCCGCTTCAGTCCTACGAAATGTCATTGCCTTTTGTACAAAGGCAGTAAAATACTGAGGCGTGGATGGGATTAATGATGACATGTCAAAAAGACTCCAGCCCTTGATCCCCTCCTCATTCTGTGGGAAAACCTTCGTGGATAAAAGTATAGTCTTCCATCTGAATCGACCAATGATAGGTATGACACTCCACTTCGCCGTGTTTGCTCCTTCCGATGCATCAAACGACCTTTCACTCCATTTTATAGAGTTGACCTCTAAGTACTTGTGACAGGTAGCATGACATCCTGTTCCCCTGCAGTGGTCTCCTTATCCCACTAAAAATACTTTTCATGAGCAACTTCTCCCATATCATTCTCCAAATCCAAGCATATGAGTAGGAGCCCAAGACACACCTCAAGCATCTGGTACCGGGGTAATTGACTATGCCCACGTCTGTTTTGTGGCTTCTACTCTGGGAGCCCAAAAGCTACGTGGCATGGCAGCTTGGACAGAGAGCTCGTTAAGTTGTCAGGCATGACATGATACTTTGGCATGTCCGAGATGATAGAGATGCCAGAAAGGTTTAGAACACAAAGTAGGCCTAGTCAGTAGAATATCGCTTCATAACGAAATAATAGAATTGTCACATTAAGAAACCTTTCGTGGGTGTCCAACCCATTTCTCTGTATGAGTCAACTAGACACATTTTCTTTCATTCTCGTACTTTCCTTTATAGCATTAATTACATTTTCTCTTTCCTGGTATGCAAACACTTGTACGCTATGTAATCATCCAGATTCTGGAGCCACTGTGTGGATATCTTTTTGTCTTTTTTTTTTTTTTCCATCCAGAGCTGTCCCTTGATACTCGACTTCATCACCTTACATTGGGTGTCATCACGTAATGCATCCATGGACTAAAATTCATTACAAGGCCTAACCTTAATAAAGAGTTACACCCACTACACCTTTTGGGAAATAAGTGTTAATGATTTGCCTGGTAAACGAAATACCTGTTTAAATGCTAAACAGTTAAAATGATATCATGTAAAGGCTACAACTTCCAGCACAATTTGTTTCCACTAGAACCCAACATGAAATTAGTGGATTTGGATTGAGGCTAATCATTCTCGCATCTAAATCTGTGGAGATGACTAACTCGTTTTTAAATGTGTTGTGTACGAGTTGTTAATGTCTACCCAGTTGACATGTGTATGTCCCATGATGGGAATATGATCCACGTGGGCAACGCGAGTATAACATGTGGAACTAGTCTAATGAAAGAATGGTTCCACTGCCGCTTGAGGGACTGACACAGACATGCTTCATAGGTTCATAGTTTTCAAAAATGGAATGGGACAGCGGCCTGGCAAGGGGCAGGACATGATTTCTTGGATCACTCTCTGGGTTGATTGGTTGGACCCATGGTTTATAATTTATACAAATGGAATAGGTTTCAAGTAAACTGTTCGCACACCGGAGTAATTCCTAGTATATTTAATGAGGTTCACTGTTTAGTGAAAGTAATTGCTGGTCGAGCGGCTAATGGTGTGTGCTGATTAAAACTAAGGAATCAGGTTCAAGTCTCAACATCCTCTTTGGGCAAGTTTTCTTATTCAAAACCTATAAACGATTTGTGCTGATTCAGTGATTAAGTTGCTGGTTCACTTTGGTTCTGCTTGATTCAATTGCAAGACGGAAGCACACCAGAGGCCAGTTTCTGGTTGAATGGATCTGTCCATTTTGGTTCTTTTAAGATTTCTTAAGAGTTTCATTCACAGTGCTGCTTCATCAGTTGAATAACTATTTTTTTAAAAAATTTATCCAAAGTTGCAGCTTCAAATATGATGTGCTTTTTTTTTTTTTTTCTGTCTTGCTAGTATAGGTTAATGATCAGTATGTCTCTTGGTAAAAAAGCTAGGTTGTTTTAGAAGTGTGCACTCAAAATACTTAAACTATGATGCCAACATTATGCAAAATCCAATTTTGCAACAGGTCATATCATCGTTCATTGCCTCATTTTTGATTTTTGAAGACAAATGAAGGGTTAACATTTACTACAAAAATAGCAGAAATGACCGAGGTAGACTTGAAATGATTTCGTTTTTCTCTGATTAATTCGACTTGGAATTTCTAAAATTATAATTGTGATATTAAATCGAATTCATTTTCCAACTCCTTTTGTTTATGCTACTACATGTGTTTTATAGCTTGCGTAGATTCTAATTAGGGTTAGAGAGAAGCAGAAAAAATAGCCCCACAACACATCTTGTATCAACCCCCAGCCACTAAAAAAAGGCCCACAGACAAAAGAAGAGAAGATTAATGCAAAGATAAGCACATCCACCATGAGTTCACTAGAAGGTGTGGTTAAGTGGACAAATCGAATAAAAAATGCCTGTTTCCCATTTGATATATGGCAGTCACACCATGCTTGCTATAAGATATTCCGAGCTTAACCAAAATGTTGTGGATCCTAATATCACTTAGCTAGTCAAAGAGGAGCATTATATATTTTCTTCACCTTCTGCACTATTCTCCCTTTGGAACCTATGGAAGTCACAGTTAACGTTTTCCTCCACGATTCACGACCAAGTGAAGGTTTTTTTTCCCGATTAGATACTTATCTATTGTCTTTGATGGATGTTTGATTTTGCCAATATTCTGAAATCTTACTATGCTCATACACATTGTTTGCATTAAATTGAAGTTGGGATGCCAATGTTTTTTTGTGTTTGATATTTCTTGAGTCTGAAATTAAGTTTGCCTTCATTGGAATAAGAATCTTGCTCCTGAGCTAGATAACGTGGTATGTCTTAGTGTGTTTGGTCTTAACTCATTTAAGTTCTTGCTATTAAACCATTGTGTCTTTTCTGTGTTTCATATACTTTGTTGATATATTGTTCAGCTGGCGTGAAGGAGTGGTCACAGAAAAGAATGAGAAAGATGAAACTACACTGACTGTCCATTTTCCAGGTATCTGTAATCAAATCATTTTGTATATGAAGACAGCCAACTGTTATGTGTTAATTGCATAGGTGCGAATATTAGTGGTTCAGAAAGTTTTTCTTGGGTTTGTTTGCAGTTGAAGGAGAAACATCAGTTGTTAGAGTATGGCATCTTCGACCAAGTCTTGTGTGGAAGGATGGGGAATGGATTGATTGGTCTATTTTAAGAGAGCACTGTTCTGCCCAGGTCCTAATTTGCATCTGTTTTCTTTCCCTTATTGTTTGATAGAAATGTTTATGTTGGCCAGTTTTTTTTATGGAATTTATATCTCGTTTTCAGGGTGATACACCACAGGAAAAGAGATTAAAGCTGGGTAGTCCTGTTGTAGAGGGCAAAGCAAAGGATAAGATGTTAAAAAATATGGATCTAGAAGAATCAGAAAAACATGAGGAATCAAGATTACTACCATTGGCCAACAATGAAAAAATATTCAATGTTGGTATGAATACTAGAGATGAGAATAAGCCTGGCGCACCAAGAACAATGAGGAGTGGTTTGCAGAAAGAAGGATCAAGAGTGATTTTTGGTGTTCCAAAACCTGGAAAGAAAAAGAAATTTATGGAAGTAAGCAAACATTATGTTACAGACAGGGGTAATAAGAATAATTTGGCAAATGATTCAGTTAAGCTTGCAAAATACCTGATGCCGCAAGGGTCAGGATCCCGGGGATGGAAAAATAGTTCTAAAATTGATGCCAAAGAAAAACAAGCGGCTGAGTTCAGACCGAAGGTTCTTAAGTCAGGAAGACCACTTGGTGTTTCAGGTAGGACATTACCTCAGAAGGATAACATCTTGGCCACCCAAGTATCTGCTCCAAATAATGCCACCATAACAGATGTTATAGTCAAGGATGCTATTAGCAATGAAGAAAGTGAGTCCGGCCAACAGAACCTAAGGGAATTTAGATCTTTTTCTAGCACTGAGGAGGCAACTGAAGGCCCAATTTTATTTTCTTCGGCAGCTCTTCCACCTGATGCTCCATTTAAAAAAGTGTCCACTTCAAATGCCAAATCTGAGCGACAGAACAAAGGAAACCTTGCACCAGGTGGTGGCAAGTCGGGTAAAGTTGAAGCGAAGGACAAATTAGTTCCTGAAGTTGCTGAGCCCCGTAGATCTAATCGCAGAATTCAGCCAACGTCAAGGGTACGTATTTGGATCTCTTGACCTTCAATCTGTTAGCAGTGCTTTTGGATCCATTTGTCCTGCATAATATTGATTGCTGCATAATCTGACCTTCTATCAGTGACAGAACTTTTACCTTTCCCTACATTTTCTAACAACTGGCTTAGTGTCTGTCTCCTCTGCCCCCTATTTCTTTCCTGGGGGGCGTCTTTTTTTCTCTCTATCATTGCCCTCTGTGTACATTTATAAAATTTTTCTTTCTCCTCAATATAATAGTAGGTATACCTCTTCTGCCAAGAAAAAGTCCCTGAGTACATCTTTCTTTTTAGTACATGAAATGGATATGCAGATAAGCCCACTCCACATTGCCCCTCAGCACCACACATTTATTTGCTGGAGACCTCGCTCCGCACCTACATTGGAGCCGAAGCTAAAGTTCTACCTCGTGATCTGGACGCTGAAGAATAAGTTTAGTCCCAGCTGCCGTAGCTATGGAAACTCGAACCCAAGCATTGGGCGAGGAAATCCAAATTCTTACCCATTGTACCAACCGCTTAGTTGTGTTTAAATATCTGAGTTATGTTTTTAATTACCCTCCATGAAGCCAGACTTTTCTTTAGATAGTGCATTGTTACATGCTCCAGTTCCAGTTGCATGCCTATCTAGTGTCATACCTTGAGTTTGGAAATAAAATGAATCAAGGATGAGCTGTCATTTCTCTTGAGAACACATTGATATTATTTTTCTTTTTCTGATTTCATTCTCATCTAACTTTGACATACGTGATGATCGCCAGCAGCTTGTGACTTGTGGAAATAACTTGATTCCCCCCTTCTGTGGTCACCTTGCTCTCCCAAAAAATCCCCTTGTTTCAGGTTTTACATTTTGTTTTTACTGAATTGTTCTGTTAATTTCTGAGTTTTCTAGAAGCTCTTGTGTTTGAAAGGAGTGCATTCTTATATTTGTACAATTCTAATTGCATGTGACTTCTCATTAACAAGCCAATCAACATGTATTATTATAAGCATAGGATCTTCTAGCTATAAGGTCCTTGATAACAACCACCTGCTCGACAAGTTTAAGCTTCTGAGAAGGTTGGGGGAATATATTTTGAACTCCACTTGGTCTTTTTAGCTTACATTGTCGCAAATTTTTTTTTCCCAAAATATTACAATTTTATATAAAGGTAACTTAGTTAATCGTCTAAAGAAGTTAATTGGTCTTCTAAGTTCTCATCACCATATTTCTCCCTTTCACATACATCACGTGTGCATGGTACTCTAGTAGTGTGTGATCCTTAGTCCTCATTCAAGATCTCCGCTGCTGTTGAGTTCTTCATTCACTTTCTCCCTACTAGCCTTCAGCAGTCATCTTCTGAAAACGAATAGTCTTTGACTTGGAAACTTTTTCTCTATTTTTGTTTTCTTACTTATATAGGATGTTTATCAATTTGATACAGATGCATCTACTTTGATTTTGTCTTTCACAACTCTCTTAACAACATGACTAAAATAAGTGGAGTTGTTCATGAACAGCTTCACCTTAATTCAACTTTAGAATTGGAAGCTTGAAGAGTTAATTAGAACGAGGAAACCATATGGAAATTGAAGCGCAGGCCCTCACACATAAAAGAATTTGCATATTGCCTTATGAACAGTAACCAACCCTTCATTGCTTCATATTAGAAAGTCGGTGCATCATCCTGTGTAGAGGACTTTTGAGCATGGAAGCTAAGGGAATCGGCTGGCCATGTAATTCCAAAAGCCAAGACAGCAAAGTCGTTTTTAACTTTTGCCCAGTATGCCTCTATTGTGGCCCAAATGCCTACCACTTTTTTATTCTAGCCCCAGCCCACTATGGCGGCCCAGTGAACACTACAAACCCAAAGTAATCATTGGTGCATTAGAGTAAAGTTTATTTTTTTTTTTATGAGTAGTAACTGAACACAAGTGAAACATTACAAAGATTAAAATATTGTTTTAAATTCCAAACTGGTTAAATCCTCTTTGTCTGATTTTTCATACATTAATTGAGCACGGTAGTTTTCATTTGCTTCTATCCCCTGTCTACGAACATTGAATATTTGCTCTCCGACCACTCTACCACCATCAGAAATTTGCCCCTTTCATCAGGACTCTTTTTTCAAAAAGAAAAATTGTGCTTCTAAAGTGGTATGCAGGACTTTTTATTTTGAACTGTGGTATGTAGGCCTTCACTGAACCTGTGTGGGGGATTGTCTTTGGATTTTTTGACAGACTTTGTGATCTATATTTGTGTGTTCATGAGTAGAATCTACCATTTTAGTGGTGAAAGACGATGGATATGATGACATTGTGACCCTCATCTTTCTGCATTATCAATTGTGGATACTTGCCTCTAAAAGTTTCTTGTTTGACTGCTTACCTTTTTCGCTGACAGCTACTAGAAGGATTGCAAAGCTCTCTGATCATCTCAAAAATTCCTGCTGCTTCACATGACAGAAGTCAGAAAAGCCAGAACAGGGGTACTTCTAAAGGTAAATCGTAATGTTTCAAATATGAATGAGACATTTTTATGTGATGTGCACATTCTTTAATGGTTGTTTGGTTGCAGCTGATTGTAATTATGTTTTGATTTTTGTACTAGGGAATAGTCATGATTGAGAGGAGCTTTCATACTGACAGAATCTTGACGGCAACACCCAGCATATGCGTGTGTATATTTATAGTAGAAGAGATAATTAGGAATGGAAATTATCGGTTCCTGTTGCTTCAGCTGTAAAATTTAGTGGGTAGATGGTGATATTGGTTCTAGTTCCTCACACAATTATGATACAATCACCTTAGGTTCACCGTGTTCGGTTGTATATGGAAATTCTCCATGTAGTTGGATTAGAAGTGCAGGATGGTTTTGTTGATGATCGATTACATACATTTTGCAGTTTCAATTAATCATTTCCCCTGCTTTTCCAAACCCCTTTTTTTTCCAGATATTATGCCTACTTGGTGCATGTCGATGTTGCATTACTTTCTTCCAGTCTTTTGTGGAGGTAATGATTCAGTCGTCGTGCGCAAGACCTTTACTCATCTGTCCCTTGGTTCGATTGCAAGAGCAACACAGATTTGCTTTACCGACTGAAAAACGTGAGCAAAACACTGGTATTACCTGATCAAGCAGTATGGTGGCCTCGTTAGTCTACATTAAATTATGCTGTGATAGTCGACTAATGACCATATTTTTGGGTTTTCTCCACACAATCGGGCGGAAAATAGTCACCGTTCTATTGCAATTAATTTTATTATTAATCTATACTACTTTAAAAAGTCAGCATATGTGAAAATCATTTTTTTTTTCACTTTTGTCTTCTAAAACTATAACTATGTCATCCTTATCCTTCAAAATTAATGTCACACTAATTTTTTCTTTCTCTTTTATCCTCAAACAATTACATAAAGACAATTATATCATATTTTTTAATTTAACTCTTAGACCATTCCCATTATAGGAATAAATGAATAAATCTTTATTTATATATATTCTATATCTATATCTATATTATATCTATCTATACAATTTTAAAAATGTCAAAAAAAGTGAAATTTTTTTAATTAACTAAATATATATTCATTATTCAAATAAAAATATACTTAAAAATATATTTCTATACCACCTAAAAATATATCCATTATTCAAATAAAAATACAAATCACATGAAAAAAGTAATCAAAAGACATAAGAGTTAATTTCTACAGTTTTCACGTGTAAATATGACAATTTAACAGTCAAGAAAACTAGACCAACATTATTCATATGTAACTTCTCATCTCCTTGGAAAACCCGAGAACGTAGAGGGCATAAGAAACCCACCATTTGGGAATTAGATTGTCATGGTGTCGCTCCAAATTCTTATAAAAAATTATTTAACCTTTGATCTTACCACCACCGAAGTCTCATAAAAGTTTCTAATTCACAACTCTTCAACTTTCCCTGTAAGGGCTATAAAACTCTCTATCCTCCTCCTTAGAGAATGAGCTGTGACCCAAACCTTTGCCCCAATTTAGCTTTAGACATTATCTATCTCCCTATCTATCTATCTATCTATCTATCTATCTATCTAAGATGGCACCTCCTCTTCAACCAGATATGAAGGAAAGGAAGAAGGTGGATTGAGAACAAGAAATATTATTTAGAGTCTCAGAATTTAAAGTACATACATCTGCAATGCAAAATTTCGATCACTCCCAAAACAAGCAATTCGACATAAAAAAGACTCAAATGTCCAATTTAATTGTAGAAAAATTTCAATTTTTGATTGTTTTTTCCATTTTATTCTCTTTTGTTAGTCCTTACAGATGACCAATGGTTTGGACCTTTAGAACCATAATAGGAAAGATAGACCAATTAGTTTTGTTGTTCTGACCAGCGCAAATGAGTTAACATATAATCTTTTAAAACGATGAAAATGGCAACCAATAGTTTTCTCGTGTGTGGCAAGCGAAGAGTGCAAGTTTAATGTGCAAGTGATGTTGGTGAGTAAGTGAAAATGTAGTGTATGAATGATGTTGGCGACTGTTATTACAGATTTGTAATCTTTCAATTTTTTTATTGGAAAATTATTGAAAAAATTCTCAACAACGTAATTACTTGTCAATTCTATCAAAGTTTGTAGATGTGTTTCGGTCAAGCTATTCAAGAGGTATCGGTTGGTATTTTAATCAAGGATGACGTTGTATGATTGACATTTTATTTTTTGGCCCTACTAAATATCTAAATGACATTAACATCCTTTTAACCCATCAAATTTGGGACTCACTTGACCTTCATTTTTATTATAAAATTAAATGCCGTTAAACTGCTTGTGTATTAATATAGAGTAACGCTACAAAATTTAAATAAAACCTAAAAAATTATAATTTAAATGCATATCATTTCTTGGATAAGTGGGTCCTATCAATTTTTTCATTAGAGCACACTCATCTCACACTCATCTAAAGGATAATATGCATTTAAATTTAAATTTTTGAATTTCATTTAAATTATATAATATTTTCCATTAATATATATAGTCAAGTATCTTCGTCTTACTTGAACATAACCATCCCCTATATCTAAACCTTTACCTCTTTTGGCCATCAAAACCAAATTTTTTGTCTCATATGTCTCTGCATGTAGCCCGCAATTGATTGCTGCATTTGGCAATTGCAAGATGCAAAGACTTCTAAGAATTGAATTTGCATTGAATGTACCGATTAATTATCTAATAAAATCGCCTTTATTTTTTGGGTAGTCTCAAGTTCAAATAATAAATGTTTCCTATGACCCTTTTGTCTGAATCAGATAAATCTGCATGACAATGCTTTCACATTAGCATGAGCAAATTTTTTACTCAGGATCTTTCGGGTTTAAGAGTTGTGAATACGAAATTGACTATACTTTTCAGGTAATATAAACTCATAATTCATAACTATGTCTTCTTAGATTTTTTTTAATAATTTTGTTTCTTGTGGATGCATTCTCTTGATTTTTAAGACTCAAAATATTATTTTTCATTTCGATTGTGGATTCATCCTATACTATTTATATTCGAAAGTAAGGAGTTCAATTATCCGTAAATTTAGTGTGCCGATCAAAACCACGGTGTCAATCAAACAAACTATCTTAATGGACACATTGAATTACATGATATCCATTTGCCCACTTCTTTTAATAAATTAAATCCTTATTCTCCCATTTCTATTTTTTTCCCTTGTTCTAATGTAAAATAAAAATTCATAGTTCTATAGAAGAAGCAACAAAATCCTCAACCAAAAAATAAAAAAAGTAAGAGTTTTAACCTATAATGGGTTTTTCATGTTGGTTAGTATTGTTTGAGTTTAAATAGAACATAAAGCGATAGATTGATAAAAAATTACAACCACCCAAACATAACTCTAATTCCATTCTCATTGAATGCCATCCAAGCTTTACTAACAAACAAGGGTGATGGCCGACAACTGTGTAGAAAGCCATTCAAGGGTAGCCAAGCAAGGAAAAGAGTAATTCAAAGAAGTTTAAGTACCTTGGTACTGATGCTAGGTTATTTCATATTACACTATTTTGTTAATATACAATTTCTATATTATGCTCCCTGATCCTCTGAATTTTTACAGTATGTGTTTTTTCTTTCTTTTGGGGTTTGATTGTATGATTATTATCCGTCAATCATGTTGCATATCTGTCTATGGGTACTTTATAACTTTTGAAATCGATAATTTGTTGAAGTCATTATAGGTAAATTAAGTAATTGGATTATCATAAAATTCTAAAAAAGAAAAGAAAAGAATATGAATACTAGATTGCTCCAATCAGCCTTTGGTTTGAGCTTAGTGTACTAAATTTTTCTTATAAATAGTTGGGCATACTGTATTTAATGAGTTAATTTATCAAATACACGTAGTTCTATTTAATGGATATTTTCACTTGCATGATTTGGTCAAGGAGTAGCTATTTGATGAAAGAAATAAAAATTGAATATGTTTAAACTTTAACCTCGAAAATAAATTAATTACCTTGGTGTTGCAAATTCTACAATTATAAAATTTTACAATTCGTGTGGTGTTGTTGAAAATTTTTAGATTGAACAACATGGATATGTATTACATCAGAGATAACTCTCTTTCTCAAACTATACATGCATGGGTTCGTAATGTCTCTCTTGAGCATGTTGCTAACTTTTTGTATAGTCCATATATAGAGCTTTTGTCTTAATTATCTTTTATCACGAGGATGAAATATGTCATGGGTTCATAACGTCTCTCCCATTGAGCATGTTTCAAACTTAATGTATATAGCTAGCTATACACGAGGACAAAACAACTTTATTTTAGCCCATATTTTTGTGATTTTTTTTTTAAAATTGATTAATTCTCAATTTTTATTATTTAGTATATAATATAGTTCATGTGCAACGCACATATGCATCAACAAATAACTTCTAATTTATATGTCAAAAATTATAATTTATATTATACTACTTCTAAATATCAAGAAAAGTGAAAAATATTTGTTAGACCAAAATAACCTAAACAAACTAACTAATGTATAATGGTCTATCCAATTTTTCTGTAATTAATAACATTATTACATCATAATAATTGTCACAATTATTTTGTTGTTGGCTACTATTTAAGTTTAGAAAAACAATCTTGTCTGTTGGGTTATTAGCATTTTAATATCAGTAGTAACACATGACATGTGTTGCACGTGTCATATTTAAATTATTTGTATTCTCTTATTTATAACTATAAACATCTAATGAACTCATTTTCTATTATTATTTCGTTTGAGCTACCAAATAATAAGGTTTATATATTTTTCTTTTCTCGATTTTTTTTTCTTTTTGTCTTTCTTATTTTACTTTGTGTATCAGTAATTTTTTATCAAATTATTTTAATTGTAAATAAAGAGATAAGATAAATATAGTCATTTTTAGGCATTAGAGATGATATTATATCAATAGAGTTGTCAACGTGTATTAATACTGGAGTTTTGAACAAAATAAACAAATAAAATTTAGGCAATTTTTTTAAACAAAATAAATTAGGCCATATAGAAAAATATATCTAGGCAAGAGAAATCTATCTTTATTGTCTATATTTTGATTCTTTTTATTTTTTTTGTTATAATATGACAATATATTAGATAACTTCCATAAACAACATTTTATAGAGATAATTCTAGAATAATATACTCCCATCATATTAGTTAGAAGCTTAATTTTATTACATTCCAAAAGTTATGTTTGATACATTTGAAAACATCAGTTAGAAGTTGGATTGTAATTCTATATTTTGATTCATAAGTATATATTGAATAACATAATTGTTATATAATTTTAACAAAGTTAAAAATCTAAAATAAAATTATAATTCAAAACGTCACATGTGCAACAACTAATTTTTTTAATATATAATTATGGATCAATAAGTAAGGATCAAAATTTTATTTTGAAACGTTCGAAACGTTTTCGTAATTAAAATTTTAATATTTTGAAAAAATAATTTTTAAAAATTTTATTTTTTTGATTCTATTTTTGATACGGGTCAAAACATTTATGAAGCACATCAAAATTTTTTTTTTTTTAGGTGATTGAAATAATATACCGAAACCTTGTCGATAAGAACTAGCCACATACGCTTTTAAATTCTAAAATCAGAAATGTGTGGTTGGGACTTCTCCGGCTTCATAGATGCATTTGTATCGTATACACAGAGAGATTCCCTCCGCAAATTTCACCTACTTTGAAGCAATTATGAAATAATAGAAATACGTTACTCAAAAAAAAAAAATAGAAATACAAGTTCTGTACGATATCATCAAGAAATTACCCACTTCCGCTGTCAGATATACCTTCCAGTAAAACGAAAATGGAGGGCCACTGTCCTTGCGAATGTCTCCATCTGGAGAAGAATGGTACACAAAGGTCAAGTTGTGTATGTTGAATGGTTGCTGGTTTCAAAGAGAGACACACGCATACGCTAACCGTCCTTAATCTATAGAGAGAGAGAGAGGATGAATGAGGAAAACCAACCAATAGCCAAAGCAACAATTTTATTTTATTTTTGAAAAGAGCCAAAGCGACAGTTGAAACAACCGCCATTGGAGGGAGGGAGGGAGAGAGAGAGGACAAACAAGGAGGAAAACCAACCACGACTACGAGCCACAACCACCATTGGGGAGAGAGAGAGAGATAGGGCATGCATGTACGAAAGGATAGGTTCAAGAGCTAGGGTGAAAAAAGAGAGGTTTTGATTTCCCAAGAGTTTCTCGGAAGGAAATTAAAATGATAAAAACTGTGAAGAGAGAAGTGGTTGAAGACTTAGCAATAATATCAGGATTGATAGGGGTGCAATTTGTGTACGCAGGAAACACAGTGGTGCTGAGTTATCTTATGTCAATAGGAATCCAGCCTTCCTCTCTCATCATCCTCTCTACCTTTTCCACATTCCTTGTCCTCTCTCCTCTCTCCTTTCTGCTCGAAAGGTGGCTCCTCTGTGTGTGTGTGTGTGTTTGTGTGTGTGTGTGGAAGATATGAATGTTGATATTTTGTGTATATTCATGTTTCAGGAGTAAATGGCCCAAGAAATTCTGTTTGAAGCTGTGGATTAAGCTGGTTTTAATTTCTTTTGGAGGGTAAAGTAATTGATATATTTTCTTGCTATCTGATCAAATGAAAGGAATTTGCATGTCTTTTTGTGTTCATGTTATCAAAAGTCAAAACCATTGCCAGAAAAAAAAATTCAGATGACCTGCTGGTGTTGTTACTTTTTCTTCTTAATAAATTATTGCATTGTTAATAAAGATAAATCTGGTACATTAAAATTGTGAATCTCAAAATGTTCAGTAATGCACAAGTCGTTTAATTAATCCTCTCTGCAGACAAAGGAGACTCCTGCCATTGCCCCTTTTTTGTTTTTTTGTTTTTTTGTGTTATTGGGCGTACCGGTGCAGGAGACTCCTACCATTGCGGCATGGGGTGGGTTAGATGTACTTAGCTTTTCCTATGTAAGCGTTTTTTTTTTTTTTAATTATTATAGGGTCTATTTGTTTCCACAGCCACATAGCGTGAATCTTTGAGTTTTGGTCTTAGCAGACATTGAAGCATGCTTCTCTATGGTGAACTTAAGGTCCAGAACTACAACTACTTGAGAAAGAAAGAAAAATAAAAATGAAAGAAATTGTTTATTGTTTTAACTAGATTTATAGCACTTATGATTCAAATAGTTTCCTATTCATTCAAATGCTCAATTAATCAAAGCAAATGGTAAATTGTGCGGTGTTTTTTGGCAGGGTGACCTTATTCCAGAATTTGTTCTTGAAGGGGATTAATCTAACTTCACCAGCAATGGCAACAGCTATGCCTAACCTTGCTCCAGGATTTATCTTTGTCATTGCTTGGGCTTTTAGGTACCAGGTTTTACTCTTCAAATTTCATTTACTATGGAAAAGAAACTACAGCTAAGATATATGAGGAAACATAGGCCTTTAGGCTTTGATTATTTATCTAACTCACACTAATTAAGGTGAAGCCTAGGGAAATACATGGTATTGTCAATGAGGTTCTTCTTCTGGTGACGACAAAAGGAAAAACATAGAGGAAGGAAGATGGAAATAAAGTTGATCTCTTTGTATTTCCTTTGCATACTTTTTTGTTGGTGTTTGGACAGTACTTTTCTTCTGAGAAAGTTATCTATTTTTCTTAATCTGATTGGAAAGCCCTTTTACTTTAAGGTAGGGTGGAATTGGGTCAGTCTTAGGTTCAAATCCCTACCGGTATTTAAGTTTGTTCCACGCTGTGAAAATAACACCTCACAAACTAGTATATGAGATTTGTCTCCACTAATTGTTGAATTACATGCTTTAACTTAGTATCAAAGGTGGGTTTTAGGAGGTGTTCAACATGTCTGTTTATTTGGTAATTCTGGAAAAGTATACTTCCAATGAAAACCAAAGGAAAATTTGTACCCCTGAAGAAGAAGTTGCATCCAATGGCAAGATGTAGTAAACAAATACAGAAGAAAGCCACCCCCATTTGATTAGATTGTGTTAACCCATGAATTGAGTGATCACACTTGGACATGTGACTCGTGAATGGATGCAATGTTTGGCGGTCATATTTCCATGCATGAGGAGAAAGATTATAGAGAGAGAAGTATAGGTGGTTTGACTATAAATCAACACAACCCTTGGAATAGTTATTGTGTCAAGAGTTGCAACCTTTCCAAAGGGTATGTCCATTCACTTCAATGAATGTCTTGCATGTCTATAAATACTAGTACATGAGGGCCTTGAGTATAGAATCGAATACTTACTCAACCTAACAACATTATGGTGATTTCTCTCGGTGTTTGCATCACTTTGATTTTCGCTCCCAGGATTGCATGTGATCTTCAGTCTAATGACAGATCACTTCCAACATTGTTTCACCCGTCTGGGACCAACAGATTGCACTTCACTTTGAGCTAAATGTAGAGCACACAAGCTATTTTTTTAGAATTGATTATTGGTAATGGGCAAGGCCCAGAAATATATAGGTAAGTTCAAAACAGTTCAGTGAGATTTTGGAATATTCAAGTTAATACTGAATCATTGAGAAATCTTGGCGGCCAAGATTCAGCTGTCTATTTATTAGGGAAGTATCAGTATCAACGCGATAAAAATTTTTCAATTCATGTTTTATTTTCTTGTCCATGGCATAATGATTTGGCTTCTTCATGCAGGTTAGAGAAAGTAAATCTGAATTGCATGTACAGCAAAGCCAAAATCATGGGTACATTGCTGTGTGTTATTGGTGCTCTGACCATGAGCATTATGCAGAGTACAATGGACAATCACACCGCCAAAGAAGCTGAATTATCATTACCATCTCCACCAGCTGATAACATCTTTGATAAACAGAAGATCATCGGTTGCATGTATCTCATTGCAGCGGTCTCCGTTTTATCAAGTAATGTTGTCCTGCAGGTAGTTTGAAAACTTGAATCTGCAACACTGATTTTAAGCAGTGTGTCTCTTTTTTGGGTTATTTCTTTGTTTTTCAACATCTTTATGTATTGCAGGCTAGCACATTGATTGATTTTCCAGCACCGATTTCCTTGTGTGCAATAACATCTTTGATAGGTGTAGTAATTACCGGACTGGTTCAGTTGATTCAAGATCACAAATTGGAGACTGGATGGCCTCTGTTGAGCGCACGAGACCTGCTTGGCTTTTCTCTACTGGTAAAATTATTTCCCTCTTTCATGTTCATTCAATTTCTGGTCACAGATGATGGATAGGAAACACATTTTCCAGCCATGCGATAGAATTTAGGATATGGGAAATGGTTCGTTGAGTAATTGCTTCAATAGCACAAATTAGTCTGACATTCATGAACCAGATATTAACTTTTACATTGTTAATTGGTTATCCATTTAATATATCAAACTTCATTATTTTCAATGTAACAGGCAGGTACAATCAGTGGAGTGTGTATAAGCTTCAATGGATGGGCAATGGAGAGAAGAGGGCCAGTCATGGTGTCCATGTTTAGTCCCATTGGAACTGTGATTTCAGTCATCCTCTCTGTTATCACCTTAGGAGAATCCATTACTATAGGAAGGTAAATGAACTAGCCTTCCAATTAACAATTTTCCAAACTCGAACACTCAAGTGGCTAAGCAAATAAATTGTCTCTGATTCTTAAGACTTGTTCTCTTCATGCAGCCTTGCTGGTATGTTTCTCATGTTCAGTGGTCTCTATTTAGTGCTATGGGCTAAAGGAAAGGAAGGCTTTTCAATCCCAGATGACAACCCCATGGAACGTGAGTATGAGGCGAGCAAACCTCTGTTGTCTTAAAATTTGTTTCTCGGTTGGCTTGTATGCATATTTTTTGCATGATTAGGCTTGGGAGAATGCAACAGGCCAAAACAATGTTATATCTCGAAAGCCTTAATACATGCACCTGTGCTAAAAGTAGAATTCGTGTAAGCAGATGACAAAAACTATATGTACATAATGTTCATAATGAATTTGATAAGTTTTACGCTTCACAATCGAGCTACATTTTCAAGGATGAAGGCTTGAATCTGACCCCGGTTTTTAGCAGACGAGAAAGTTCCAACACTTGCTTCTCTTGCAGTAACATGATGGAACCACCCTGGGTGTTGCAGCTTTTGTATTTGATCATTATGTGTGGATATAAAGATCAATTGCTTTGGAAGGAAGATCTGTTAGGTTAAAAATCTAGATTTGGAAGAAGTGGCAGATCAGTCCTCTGCCAGATGAACTAGTAGTGCTAAACTCTTGAGTTTAGGTCAAATTTCCTCACATCTAACGATCAAGAAATGACCCATTGCGGGAAAAATTCAAACTCTTAGTAAGACTAGGGCTAGGGCGACTCATTCTATCGAACTTGACACATCCACTGCACAATCCTTTGGAGTCATAGTTTCGGGATTGGATTGCAAAGGGAGCGGGAATGCTTTGAAGATCAATGAAATCAAAGCCCGTTGACCGAGGAAGGATCCATGGAGTTCTCTCTATCTTCCCTTTGCTTGAACCGGACTGTTAGAGTATGTGTGGCTCATATTTTGCTATGTGCATAATGGCAAGGAGGCAGATGCCGGAGCGGGATTTATATAAAGGGGACGCTGATAAGTTGGGGGTGCGGAGGCAACGCCTCCGCGGTACGGTACAGAGGTATTTTTGTAAATACGTCCATATTAGGGTTATATAAATACTTAAGATGTAACCCTACTTCAATAAGGAAAAGAACAGCCGCTCGCTCTCGTGGATGTAGGCACATTGCCGAACCACGTAAATCTCTATGTGTTATTTTCTCCTGCTTTCTTAATTGTTTGATTCCTTACTATTCACCATAATTGCTGCACGATCACAACACGGACTTTTCCGAAAAGGTGCATTGCACTATATGCTGGCTCACCCGATCAAGCTCTTGGCTGATGCATCAACTCTTTGTTGGAAAAAACTTAATAGAGCAACCCAATGCACGACGCTCTCACCAACACGAGATCAGTTGGGATGGAAACAATCCTATCACGTGTATGGAGAGCCAGTATTCGATTCATAACTGCTATAATTGGCCTTTTTGGGTGTGTATTGCTTTGTATAGAGATGTGCAAAGTGTTTTGGTTGTGGTGGTTGAAAAGAGGTTCTTATACCCTACGTTTATATCACTGTATGACAAAGTAATTATAGTAGATTCTGGACATTAAACTATCTCAACTATTGCCAATGCTGCACTCTTTTGGGTGGTTTGAGTGGTTCAGTATACCTAAGATTTAGAGCCTAGATGTGGAATTGTACAGCAAGGTTTGATTAACTACTGCGGAAACTTAATGTGGACTTTGTGGCATTACATGTGCAAGAGAAGTTTTCATTTTGCCTTCAAACCTTTCACAGCAACCATTTCATTGCTTAGGAGTCTAACTCAGGTAGTTTGAGTTGAAGTAGCTTCGTAAACCTAACCCAAGTTATAAAACTTTCGATCCGAGTTTAATTCAAAATCAGATTTCACCTTGAATCCTCTTTTAACCCTCTATTGTGACATTGATAAATATCTTCTTTAATATAATTTATGTTAATACTAGGTCACTCCTCATATCTGTTGGTGGTGGACCTACTTATGCATAGTAACGGAGGGGTTGACCCTAGCACATCTAGTGTAACGGATGTGCGTTCTAAATTTAGACGTTTTAAGTTCGAATTTTGACAATCTTTTAGAGATAGACCATAAGAGATTTATTCCTAAAAAATATTTAATCCCGGTGTAGATGGTCTTCTTTTGACCGGACTGAGAAAAAGATTAATCGAGATACAAATAAGTTAACTCGGACATCCTTGACTATTTAACCAAAAAAAAAAAAAGAAAGCTAAAGCATGCTTTGTATCGTACGTAAAAATAAATTATAACACTATATCAAAAGCTATTATTTTTAAATGTGAAAGTTATTATTTTTTAAAGAATTATAATTGATTGAGGTAATTTATAATCGTTCATGACATATTGTGGTATATTATGAATTACTTAAATAAGTTATAATTTTTTCTTTATAAATAATAAATTAAATTTTAAAATTTATAATTTTTATGACTAATTATAATATTTTGATATTAATCAATTTTTTTTATAATTACAATATATATATATATATATATAATAAAATTTTAAATATTAGTCGTATTTCCCGTATTGTAGAGGCGTGTTTATCAGTTAATGTGACAGAGGTAGTTATTATAGGCCAACCAACACACTTTGTGTACTTCACTTGCAGTTTTACTGCACTACAAGCCGTATGGTATCGACTAGGTATGTTATCTTCTGAACGCACACCGCAAAAGCACCCCACCCCCACATGCCTCGGGATGTGTGTACACTCCAAATCCAGAAAACATCGCTTTACTAGACGGAAGACGAAACATTAATAACTTATTTACTTCCCGTCTTAAAAATAGTATATACAAATTATTTTTGAAAATAATTTTAGAAATTTGTTTTGATATTTTTGTATCACAGAACTTGTTTGATTATATGATTTTAAAAATATTTTACGAATTAAAAAATAGTAAAACTTATTAGTTTATAACTTAAAAAAAAAAAAATATAAATGTGGTGGCGATGGTGAGAGTGTGGTGGCGGGCGTTATAGTGGTGGTGAAAATATGGCGATGGTCGTAATGTTTTTTAAATTTTGAAAATGTTATTTTTAAAAATATAAAAAATAATTATAACTTGTTTTCTAAATCTACGTACCTTTTGTTCTTAATTTTTTAAAATTAAAAACAAAAACCATCTGACCAAACCAAACAACTTTTCTCCCAAAAATTATTTTTGAAAACATAAAATTATTTCTGAAAATATAAACCAAACATAGCCTTAATTTTGCTGTTCTCATAATTCATATAAACTTCTGTTATTTTTAGTTTGAAACTTGATAATTTTTTTAGATTGAATTATGAGAAATTTATTTTTGAGGAATTTTTAAATTTCAGCATAAATGATCCAAAACCTAAGAGAGTTAACTTAACCTGAACTTGGAGAAACATTTTTGTAATTAACCCATCTTTAATGAGTTTCCCATTGTTCCAAAATTATCTAGATCATAACAACTATGGAATAAATAACCTTAACGTTTCAAGTGATTGATGAGGGGGCCTAATGTGAAAATAAATCAAAATAAGCAATTAATCTAAAAAAAATAGCTTACATTTTGGCCGTAATTAAAAAAAAAGTCTGTTTTTTTTGCCCCATTTTTCTTTTTCCCCCATTAAAAAAAATCAAATAATTCCTTCTCACTTATTACACATGCAAACTTAATTAAATTATATTTCAGAAATAATATAATTGTTTAAGAACTTAGCACTACATCCATAATTCCATATCAATTGTCATAGTTATAAGCTATCATTTAGAATTTTAATTTTTAATCACCGTATCTTGAAATACAGAAATATTGTAAAAATAAAGTTTCTATAAATAAAATTTAGGTAAAAAAATAAAGTTAGTGCTCGGATTAAGTTTTTTTTTTCTTAATTAGACACTATTATAAGGAGGGAGATGATGAGATTTGAATTCTTGACTTCAAGGTTAAATAACGGGGACGATAACTATTAGATCAATCATTAATCTCGACTTGAATTTAGTCTTAGACGAGGTAAAATTAGACAAAATTGGGAATTTTTAATTGATAATGCATAAACAAAAGAGAGTAGTAGCAAAGGAGTGTTATATTATATTAATATTTAGGTGACAGCTTGGGATCAGCAGTGCCGTAGTGGGTTGTTCAAGATAAGAATAAGAATTGATGAACTTTTTTGAAAAATTAAAATGTTTGTCCTTCTTCTAAGGTAAGCACTGCTATTTCGATCAAATTTATTCATATTATTATTTGTTTAACCACTCTTTACTATTAAAATTTACTATCAATTCAATAGTTATGATATATCAGAATTATAAACTCAGACATATCGAGTTTGTATATTTGACAACTTGAGGCCAGATCATGACTAATTTATTTTTTATAAATACTCTAGTTCCGGTGTAAATGATCTGTCTTTATTTGAATTAAAAAGTGGATTAGTTAATGTGCGTATAAGTTAACCTATACACTTTTGATTGTTGAATAAAAAAAATAATAAATCAAGTTCAAATCACATTTTTTTAGGTCCACTATATATTTAATGATAATGATTTATCAAATATAATTTTTAAGTCTATTTAACATTTTTCTAAAGTAGTATCAAATGAAGTTAATAGTAGGGATGACAGTGGATCAGCGCAGAGGTGGGGGCGGGGAAAGTAGTCTCCACCCTCGTACTCAGTTCAAAAATATTTATAAATCTCAGATTCAGGGAGCAGGGAAAGATGAGGTTATTTGGTAAATAAAGATAGATCAAGATGTCTCATTCCATGGGTAAATTTTGATTCCCATTTCTGTCTTTGTCATAATAATTAATTTTTATAATTTTAATAAAAAAAATTAAAAAAAATCATAAAACATCGCAAATAAATTTACAAGAAAGATAAAAACTCATTATCCATAATTGAAGGTACGATGAAACATAAGATTTTAAGATTCAAAAAATTGATCCCATTATACAAATTTTAAAATTAATTTCTATCTATTATTTTCTTAAAAATAGCATCAAAATTTTCTCAAAATACATAATTCGATAAATTTTTTTCAACATGTGTACACTATCATATATGAATTATGGATGAAATAAAAGTTGTGTTAAACTACAAATTAACTAAATATTAAATAATTGAACATGTGATAAATATGGTGATGTGATATTTTTTTGGGAAAAAATATATAAGGAATAAAATTCAACTTGTTAGGTGATTTATTATATAAATACTAGTCATAACTTGTGCCTGAAGGCACGATATAACATAAAATTTGAACCCTAAAAAATCAATAACACTATATTAAATAATAATTTTTCTTTCCTTCATTTATTTGATTACATCATTTAAAATTTATTTTTACCCATTATTTTTTAAAAAATATTAACAAAATTTTCTCAAAATATTCAATAAAATTTTATAAGCCACACCGAGCCGCAGCCTCATTCAGTTAAAAATTTGTAGATTAATTCTAAACCAAAAGAGGAGATAATGTAGTCTTAATCTAAGCATATATATATATATATACACACACAACAAAATTTAAATAATTTTTGAGTATAAATGAAATGAGAAAAAAGGTAATAATTACAATAGAATTATTGGATTAACACCAAATTTCAATGTTTGATGAGTTTCACAGTCAATTCAAAGGTTATAATAAATTAAATCAACAAATTAGATTAATAAATTTAATCCCAATAGCATTGTTCTTACATTTTTTGTACTGTCGAAAAAAAATTGGCAGTAAAGGCATTTATTACGGAAATGGGCAAGATTTGCATGTTACTTGTCCCTCTTTATCCTCCCATGGTCATGCTTTATGAATTTTTTTTACTATTTTTGCAGTTCATACGAAATAATTAAATTCTCTGCTAATAAACTTACAGCTATACCTATACTATACATACAGACCAGATCTCTACAATGCAAAATCGCATTTTTGGGTTGTGTGTGTCTTTTGGTGGAGGAATGCTTGTCACCTACTCCTCTTAAGTTCCCACTTCCCACTCTCTCCTGTACTTCCTCAAGCTTTAAGTTAGAGAGAGAGAGAGACACATATAGTCTTGTGTGTTTTTCTGGGGAAGAGAGAGAGAGAGAGTTGCAGTTTGCTTGATTTTCTGTGTGGTGAGAATGGAGAGACACAAGTGTAAGCTCTGTTATAAGAGATTCACTAGTGGTAAAGCTTTGGGTGGGCACATGAGGACTCATCTTGCCACCTTACCAATTCCTCCAAAGACACCACCGCCACAACTTGGTGAACGTACTGAGTCAGCTTCATCCCTGTCTTCTTCAGAAGAAAAAGAAGACAGAGAAAGTGATGAGAAAATGTTGGTTTATGGGTTAAGAGAAAACCCAAAGAAAAGCTTCAGAGTGGTAGATCCTGAGTTCTGGGATGCTGGATCGATTGTTCAAGACAGAGAAAGTGAGACTGAGTCAGTAAGGAATCCAACTCGGAGGAGATCCAAGCGGACTGGGAAAATGTGTGTTGCAGAAGCCGAGAATCAAGAACTTAAGAAGCCTAAGTTGGGCAAACCCAGTTCAACTCAGTCAATGACCGAGTTAGAACCAGTGAGTTCAGTTTCTAATACTTCCCCAGAAGAAGATGTTGCTTTGTGTCTCATGATGCTGTCAAGAGATGTTTGGAGTAGTGAGGACTCAGAGGCGATGAAACTGAGTCAGACTCGAACATGCAACAAAGTTTCCAGTTCATTTCAAGCATTGGGTGGTCACAGAACTAGTCAGAAGAAGATCAAGAAGTGCTTTGAAGACCATGAAGGTGAGTCAAAACAACTCAGAAATGTCCCTTCCAAAAATAAAAAAGATCACTCGATGGACAAGACTCTCACTATTGTCGGGTCTAAGAATTTACATCAAAAAGTTCATGAATGTCCATTCTGTGGCAGAGTGTTTGGGTCAGGGCAAGCCCTTGGTGGGCACAAAAGATCACACCTTTTAGGTTCATCAACAACTGCTTCAAACTCTACTAAACTTGGTGACAGTTTGACAGATCCAAAAACTGCTAAATTTGGAGTCTGTTTCATAGATCTTAACTTGCCAGCTCCAATGGAGGATGAAGCCTACAGCCAACAAGAGTTGTCTGTATGTAGTCTCTGATAGCTGAATTATATATCAATCCCATCAAACATTGACACCATTCTTAGCCATTTGACAAGTTTGATAGGTGAACTTTTGTTACTTTTTCTCTACTGTATTAGAGCTATGGTAGATTGTTTGGGCATTGGACTGAAATGGGCTCTCTTCATTTACTGATTTTTCTGCAATTTTTATTGATAAATCAAATGTCATGTAGCTTTTTTATAAGTTAACTACTTTCGTGAAGGAGGTTAGACCTCCACACAAGGATAAGGTTGTTCCATTGTGATTTAAATGTCACGTTTTTAAATCGCGAAAACAACATTTCTTATTGTAGGAGTATGATTATATACATCTAACTCTCCCCAAATCCCACAATAATAAGAGTATCGTACACTGAATACACCCTAAACCCAATTACTTTCTTGAAGTGGTTAGTTGTAATACATTGCTTTGAAATGTTGACAAAGTCCTAAGCAACATTTGTGTTGTTAGTTGCTGCAACAACTGATTCAGTGGGGCGCACCCACTTGGAATGGTGGAGGCAACAGAAGATCAGAACTTGCTCCAAGTTCACGTCTTTTACACTCCATTGTCTTTCTTGTTTTCTTCTTTGGTTGAGAAAGAATCGTTCCAACCATATGACTTTTAGATTCGTGATTACAGATGCATATTTAAATGCACATAACTATTCACAAATTATATTTTTTCGAAATTCTTAGAATTTGAAAACCCAGGATAATAACTCATAAAATCTTAAATTACAAACTATGCCATCTGATATTACCAATGACCATTGACCAATGTACTAAGTATTGGTTGAGGAACAAGAACTTGGTCTTTTATATTTTTGTTAATTGAAAAGGAAAAAAAAAGAGTGTTCAGATATCAACTCGATAGGTCATTATTAGTGGGATTGTTAGGTTTTCATTATTAGTGGGATTGTTAGGTTTCTGACCATTCTCGTTGCTTCTCTAAATAAACAAATCTAGTTAGATTAGTATAACGGTTTCAACGTTACCTCTGAAAAAAAAAAAAAAAAAACAAGAATAGAAGAGGAACCTGGGCTGAGAAGGTACTAAAGTGCAGTTTCAGTGTGTTTCAGCCAGAAAAAAAAAAACAAAAAGTACCAGAGTGGTGAATGCTGTCAGCCAGTTCTGTTTTTGTTTCCAGCTGTTGTTTGTGATCTGTTCTTTGATTTCTTCCCTTTATTCAAAAAAGCTCTTTAAAATTTCAGCTTTTTTTTTATTGATCTCATTATTGCCTAGCTTCGTGGTTTTGTCTACTTTCAGGTATGGAGGAGGAGAAGTAGTTCGGTTCTCCTTCTCTCCCCCACCAGATTCTGCAAATGAGATTACTAAAGTAACCTCAGTGGAGAATTTTATTTTTTTATTACGAACACACACACGGGTGAGAATGCATGCATATTTTGAATATATTTTACTGAACATCATATTATAGTAACAAGAGCTTAATAAGATCAATAATCCTGACTCCAAACACTACCTCTAAAAGAACCTAACCTTTAAAAGAATGGATGAAGTTTTGTCAATTAACCCGAAATTCTTGTCGCAACCGATGTAAGATTTGAGTGGAGGCTCGGGATATCCTAATGGTGGGCATGGTATATGTATTTAATTTAAAGACCTCATTTAAGAAATCAATATATTACAATTTGAGGGTAAAATTTATTAAATATGGGATTTTATTGGTGATCCAAAGATTATAATATTAAATTCTCAAATTAAATTCACGGATTTGATCTTAATAGTGTTACTCTTATCAAAATTCCTTTAACGACGCCCTCTTTATTATCTGAGTAATAAACAACAATTCGTGTGTATTGACCTAATTTGTTGACTTAATTTACTATAACTTTAAAATTGATTGTGGGTCTCATCAAATATTAAAATTTGGTATTGATCCAATAATTTCAATAAAACTATATTATTAGGCCAACAAATTAAATCAAATTTTTAGATTCAAATAATATTATTCTTTCCATACTTGAAACCAAATGTTGATGTGGTTATTAACAAACCACATGATAAAATTAGGACATAATCCATAGATTATGAGTAATGTTATTTGAATTTAAAATGCTAACTTGATCAATTATTATCATTAATTTAACTGTGAATCTCAATAAATATTGGAACTCATTACTTATTCCATAGTTATGATGGATGAAATCATTAAAAATTAAACTTGATAATCTCGATCATTGAATAGGTAATGAGTTTCAATAAATTCTGAGACCCATAATGAAATCAATGGTTCTAATTATCAAATCTAATTTTTAAATTCATGTACCATTACTCAATGTCATTTTTCACTAATTATGATGGGGGTGGTGGGTGGAGTAATGGCATATAATAGTCATGGACAATGAATAATTAGTCAACTAATTAATAGATGTAGTTTGATACATTGAGGGCAATTTTGGTAATTCACTTTCCACATTGGGACAGCGTCAGTTGTGCCACTCTTCACGAGAACAGGGAAACAAACAACTGACCAATTATTTGAAGTGCTTTTTAGTCAACTTCTATAATAACTTTTCACTGTATAGCGATCGGTCTAATAATTATTGTTTCATAGTTATTAAATTTTAAAATCATGAATATGAATTTTATTGTTTTTCACTTCTATAATAATGTCTCATAAAAAAAATAAAATATATATTCTCATAATATATATATATATATATATATATATATATATATATATATATATATATAAAATTGCATATAACTTTGGTTTTTTCTTCACAATTAGCCAATACTAATACATAGCGTAAGATTGATACTAAGAACCTCAATAACTTTTTTGATTTTTTTTTTTGTTCAACAATTAAAGATGTTCGAATCAATTTGTGTGGATCTCGATTAATCTCTTTTTCGACTCGATTAAAAACATGTTATTCACTCTGAGATTAGGATATGACTTGACTCCCAAAGAGTTACCAACATTCAAATTCAAAATATTTAAATTTATAATTTATTGTTGTTATCACTTGAATTATTTTTCAAATTTTCTTAAAAATTATTTGAGGCTATTAATGTTTGCCTCCTAAACGATTAAAGTTGTAGATACCCATCGTGTGCCCTAACAACGAATGAGTCCAGCCTCTTCTTCTTTCACATAGTTGTGGATTGCTTCTCTCAATCCTTCTATTCTCGTATCAAATTCATTTATAATTATTTATTATCAATCTCGTCGTATCGGCAAATTTACTGGACAAGTATAACAATTTTAATTGATTTTTGATTTAAACCCGTAAATATTAAACTCATATCTAATAATTTTGTACTGCACCGACACAAAAAACATATCTCACGCGAAAATGCTTTAGGCATTCCTTGATGCACGCTACAAACACCATGATTCGACAACCATTGCAGCACAGAACGGCTCGTCCAGGCATGCGAGTAAGAGGTGGCAGCTGACAGGTTTTAGTGACAGATTTTGGAATAAAGTCCAGCACCCATAATAACCCTTCTCCCTAACCATACATCTTCCTCCTCAATCAATTATCTCTATCAATTGAAAAAAAATAGGGTGCTCGAGCTTGATTCCTGGTATATAATTTTTAATTTTTGTTAATGTTAGATTAAGTTTCACAACATAAAAGAAAATATGTAGTATGATAGATCTGAATCTAAATTAATCTTTTTATACAACTGTATAAGAATAATTGGGAATCAATGAGAATATTTTTACATTATAGTGCTACAACGCTCAAAAAAATCTATCCATTGTGAACTTTCTTGTTCTCTTAGTAATAATTGCAATAATCTTGGGCTTGTGTTATTTCTTTTGATTGAACGAATTTGTTATTGTTTAGAATTGTGACAGAAATAAACAATTTAAGAGAAAAAAAGCTATCGCTTGTGAGAGAGAAAATTATCACGATCTAACTAGTTAAAGATTGTCACCTCATCTATATACCTATTTGTGGACTTCCTCATCTTTGGACAAGTTCGGCGTCTTCCTTGGAGTATTGTTCATATGCCCTTTATACTTGGTCATTCTTGATTCAATTCTTGTTAGGTTGAACAGAGCCGATGAGCTTAAAACACCCATTGGAAACATTGTATTTTTTTCTTTATTTTTGAAAAGTAAATAAATCATATGCCCCCCCCCCCCCTCCCTCTCTCTCTCTCTCTCCTTTCTCTTCCACAAACCAAATGGTTTTCAGTATCTTTCATGATGGAAGCAAAGGATGTACTTTAATATTGCATGTACTGCACTTAGCCTCGGCTTTTCATGTTGGTCCCCTCTCTGTGTATTGCAGAGAAAATACCTAGGGAACAACCATATTAGGCTTGATCTACCCTTCTAGGCACATGCACGATATTCTCTTGGCTGACGTATAATTATCGACTCTCTGAGAGATGGGTTCCAACCATCAAAGCTATGGGACATTGGATCACCCAAGCTTGTTAGGCATTGTGGTTTATGTCATTTACTAGGATCCAACTCTCCTTCCTTACAATTTTTCTTTATTATTTTTTTATAAATCACTCACCGTGCCTTAATAAGATGGTTTCACTTTAAATTATGACAAATAATTATTTTTTAGATATGAATACCTAGTGTCTTTCTTAATCACCTCTCGTGTATTAGAGAGACTTCAAATACAATTTGATTGTGAACATAAGGTATTGCTAAATATATAAATTCATTTGGTCGTCTTCTCTATCCTTTTTCGATAAGTCGATATATTTTTTTAACTAGAAAAAAATGGGGTCTTTCTAATGTTTCCCACACAAATCATGCTATATATATTAATTTTAAGAATAGTTCAAGTAGTAATAGAGACGAGTCGTAAATTCAGACGTCATGAGTTTGAATCTTGAAAATCCTTTGCGGTTAGGTTACAAGGGATTTATCTCTCATAAATACCTTAATTCCGATGTAAATGGTCTGCCTTTGAATAGATTAAAAAAGAATTAATCGAAATACGTGTAAGTTAATCTAATCATGTCTGACCATTAAAACTAAAACCCCAAAACAATAGAAGAGACGAGAGGGGATGATTTAGTTGATTTCTAGAATTACTGACGCAAGAAAACTTAGGATTTCTAAGAAATCTTGTGACCAGGTCATAATGATCAAGCTCTGATTAGGTCAATGACTCTCTTAATTCGAACAACCTACATTTGTGGCACCAATTATGACTCTGGTTCTAGGCAGTAGTCATGAAGTTTCAAGATCTAATTAATAAAGGGTAGGCAAAATTAAGACCGTCTTGGCAGCTCTGGTCTGCCTTGGGCCCTTTTTATTACCGGCTCCACCACGTTCAATTTTCATCATCCTGTGAAAATTGAACACACACCCAGCAGGCACTTTGGCGCCCACCATGTTGGATTATTACCATGGTCAAAGTAATGATCTGGTGGCTGGGGATTTTCCAAGTCTTAAATTTTGACGTTTATACTTCTAGTTGGGTGATACACTATTATACATATGGATTATTATTGCTTCATGACTTAGAATCATTCCAACTATTTTTTGTGTGGACTTGGTATGTACTCAAAGACTCGCTAACAACATTTATCAAGTAATCTAGACCACTTTTATAATATTCAAAGTTAAAAATTGAATGTTTATTTACTGAAACTCGGTTAATGAAAAAACGACAATGCGGATATAATTTAAACTTGTCAATCGTATCGGGTGAGGTGAGTTTGTGTCAGTTTTTAACGGATTCATCTTAAAAAATATTTTACTCCTACCCAATTCGTTTATTAAGTTGTGTTTAACGAATTGTGTCGTATAGTTTATGAATTGCGTATAACCGGTATATAAACGAGTCATGTATTTTCTTTTGATTGATTTCAACATATCCGATTAGTTTAATAATTGTGTCGTGTCAAGTTTATAAATTGAGTGACTTTTAAGAAAGATCAAAAACTCTCTAATTTTTTTTTGTCGTGTTTGTGTCATATTTTGATTTGACTAAATACAAAATTTCTTCTTTGTTGCCGTAGAACATATGGATTAAACTTGTGGTTACAAATTTTGCAAATACTCTATACATATGTAAGTTCCAATTGAGGTAATAATAGATGATCATTGAAAAAACTTAAGAAAATATAGAATACATGTAATCTATATGGCAGATTCACATGAATAGATATAACCCCACAATTTTTTTAAGTTGCCGTAATAAATATGATAATTTGTAAGCATGTGAATCATGTCGGATGAGATGAATTTGTGTCAAATTTTAATTAGTTTGTGTCAAAAAAATACTTTACTATATTAAATTTATTTATTAATTTGTGTCGTGTATAAATCATGTATAACCAATTAATAAACAAGTCGTATCGTAATTTCTTTTGATTGTCTTCGTTTATACTTAATTCGTTTATTAATCATGTTGCATCGAATTCTTTCGTTTACGAAATGAGTGGCTTAAGGAAGATTCAAATCTTCTAATTTCGCATCATGGTGTTGTCATATATAACGAGTTGTATCATATTTTAACACTCATAATAATTTGTAACATCTTTATGCAACTTACCTATATGTCCACTTTCCTTTTCTAAGAAATTTAAAACTTTAAAATCACCGTAAATATATATATATTTTAATTTTATTTGAATTATATATCATTCATTTAAATAGAGTTTCTCACGTGCTAAGGGTGGATGATCGACAAAGAAATAAATTGAAAAAAAAGTGTATTAACTTGATCCAATTAAGACAAAAATTTATTACCAAAGATAGCAAAATTTGAGTTCGAATCTTGATAATTTATTAGGATTAGGTTAGATGAGATTTTATTTCTCACGAATACCTTAATTTTAGCATAAATAACTTTATTTTTATCGGACTAAGAACGAGAATAGCCGAGATACGCTAGTCTGGATAAAAAAAAAAGGGTAAATCTCAAATTAAAATATAGTAAATAGCAATGAAAAAATATATCTATATAATAAAATATGAGTATGTTTGAATTTTGTCCTAATCATATTTTTCCCCTTAAAATTATCATCAATCACTTACCTCTCCCATCATTCTTTTGTCCTACTTAAACGTCAAATTACATAACTTATTTATATCATATGTTTAATCATTTATATATTTCTTTCCTAAAAATATCACATCATTCATTTTTATCATATATTTAATTATTTAATATTTAATTAATTTATAATTAATATATTTTTAAAAAAATTAATATAATGGGATCAAACTTTTTGACACTCGAATTTTATATTTTATGTATATATATTATAAGATGAAAAAAAATAGAAATAAACCAAGGTCCAAGCTTCTGGTGGGTTGTTGAATTGAAATCCTTGGTGCGAAATCGAGGGTTTGTCTTTTGCTTATACACACTGTCTCTCAGTTCGATCCTCCCCTCCCCCCTCTATGTGTATATAAGAATTCGCTCTGCAATTTTTTCGCATTGCTCTGTAAGTTAGTTGATTTCTTTATGTTTTTCCTTCATTAACGATGCGTTGAATCGGAGCAGAAGTTTGCGATTTTGCGGCAATTTGTTAATTTAAGATTGAGAAATTGTGATCCAAAAACCCTAGTTTTTTCACTTGTTTTGTGCTTTAAAACAGTTAAATATAGGGGGTTTTCATCGAATCAGCCAATCTAGGGGTCAATCTGAGTTGGATCTCGAGTTTTTGTAACGTTGTAAGCTCGAATTCCAGAGTTGAGATTGAAAACGTGGCGAAAATTGGGTGATTTTTTGGTGAACGGCGTGGGGTCAGAGGGATTTGATAGGTTTGTAGTTTGTGAAATGGCTTCGAATCCTCCATTTCAGGTGGAGGATCAGACTGATGAGGATTTCTTTGACAAATTGGTCAGTGACGATGATGATAGTGATTTCAAGGTCACTGCATTGTCAGCACCAAAATTTTCGGATGGTAATACTTTGGATGAGGATAAAGCATTTTTGAATTTAAGCATGAATGATGTTGGAACTGTGTTTGATGACATGGGTGGAGAAAGTGGGATTGAAGCTAAAGGGGAAGGAGGGCTTGAAGTTATTGACAGAAAGGTCAAAAGGGTGCCAGTGGATGGGTGTGTAGAAGGGAATAGTAGTTCATTAGTGTCATCAAGTTCATTTGGGTTTGATAGTATACTTGAATCCAATAATGATAACATAGAAGCAGTGGTTACTTCGGATACAGGGATTAATTCATTTGGGTTTGATAATGTGATTGAATCTTCTAAAGCTAGTATAGAAACAGGGGGCATGGAGGATTCCACAATGAGTAAGAGTAGTGGATCTGTGGGTTCAGGTGTTAAGGAAGTGCAATGGAGCGTGTTTAATGCTGATTCAAGACAAAATGATATTAGTGGGTTTGGATCGTACTCAGATTTTTTGACAGAATTGGGAGATGGTCCCATGGATTCAACTGGCAAAGTGATGGACAACTTGAATGGTGATATGAAGGTTGTGTCTAGCAATGAAGCGTACGAATCTGCTTATTTGGATAACTCGAATAATTATGGGCAATATCAAGACGGTTACAGTCATGATGCGGCTGCAGAAAAGAGTTCAGAAGGACAGGGTCTGGATAGCAGTCAGTATTGGGAGAATCAATATCCTGGGTGGAGGTATGATCTGAATACTGGGCAATGGTATCAATTGGATGGTTATCATGCCACCGCAAACATACAAGGGGGCATTGAATCCAATTCAGCTGCAGATTGGAATGTCTCTGATGGGAAATCTGAGGTATCTTATTTGCAGCAAAGTGCACATTCTGTTGCGGGGACAGTTGTTGGGGGTGGCACAAATTGGAATCAGGTTTCACATGCCAGTGACGACTCCTATAAGGTTCCAAATTTGAATCAGGATTCACAAGCGAGTCACACTACTGGAATTGTGTCCAATTGGAATCAGGTTTCACAAGACAATAATGGTTACCCATCATATATGGTTTTTGATCCTCAGTACCCTGGTTGGTTTTATGATACAATCGCCCAAGAATGGCGCAGTCTGGACACATATACTTCATCAACTCAATCAAGTTTTCAAGCACAAGACCAATCAAACCAAAATGGATTGGCATCAACTGGTGATTTTTCTCATCGGAATGATCAGAAAACATTCAACAAATATGAGCATCTTGATAACTATGAGTCAGATGGCTTTGGTAGCCAAGGCAAAGATTACAACTGGGATGGGTCTTCCAGTAATAACAATCAGCTGGGTTCGACAACTATGTGGCAACCAAAGATTGTTGCCAAGAATGAGACTACTTCAGAATCCAGTGCAAAGCAACAATTACAGAATCATTATGGCGCAAATTTTTCTGTAAGCAATCATGTTGGTCAACAGAAATTTCATGTTTCTGGGGGAATTGTTTCATCGTTTGAGGGAGCTCAACATGGGTATGATGACATGGCAATTTCTGAATCACATGGTTTTGTTTCTGGTGGGAACCTCAGTCATCAGTCTAACCAAAGAGTTGAGGAAAAAGGGCACATGCATGTCTCAAATGATCACTATGGCAATCAAAACTCTGTGGACTTTTCCCAGCAATCATTTCAGGGTGTCCATCAGTTTTCTTATGCTCCTGTGGCGGGAAGGTCATCTGCAGGCCGTCCTCTGCATGCTTTGGTTACTTTTGGTTTTGGTGGGAAACTAATTGTCATGAAAGATAATAGCTCTCTTACAAACTCATCCTATGGAAGTCAGGTTGGTCCAGGAGCATTCATCTTTTCATGTTTTCATTTGAAATTTTATTCATTACATCATTCTCACTGAACATTAAAAATCTGTGTTAATTTTATGTGAAGGATCCTGTAGGAGGTTCAGTATCTGTTCTCAACTTGATGGAAGTTGTTGCTGAAAAAGTTGATGCGTCAAGCATTGGAGCGGGCGTCTGTGATTACTTCCGCATGCTCTGCCAGCAATCCCTTCCTGGTCCACTTACTGGTGGGAATGTTGGTAATAAAGAGTTGAACAGATGGATTGACGAGAGGATTGCAAACTGTGAGTCTCCTGATTTGGATTACAGGAAAGGCGAGGTTTTGAGGTTACTTCTTTCATTGCTCAAAATAGCTTGTCAGCATTATGGAAAAGTTCGTTCTCCTCTTGGAACTGACACCACATTGAAGGTGAATTACTATTTGTTCTCTAGACTTGCCTCCAATTTAATTATGTATATTAACTATAATTGGCAAAATGGGGAAATATGATTATTGTATCTTGATCTTCTTCTGTGCGTCATTATTCATAGACAATTTCTTTGTAAAGGGTCACATATTTATCTTTGACGCTTTGCGGTGATCAAGCTCCTTTGACATTGAGCAAAAGCTCATTTATTGTTATGTAAGGCTTTTGATGTCTGGCTCTTGTAATACTCTGTTATGAAACTTTTGGCCTATTCAAATTCTTTTTCCCTCAATCTTCGAAGTCGCTTTCATTTCCAATAATAAGAGTAATTACTTACAATATTCTGGAACTTATAGGCCAGACAAGCTGCAACATTGCTCCACCATACCTACCCACCCCCCCAAAAAAATAAACCCACCTCCAACACACCCTGTCCAGGTCCCTAATCACAAAATCCAAACTCAAAACCAAGAAAGGATTGAAGGAAGAAGAAAAGAATTTGGTAGGTGACTGCATTAGTTTGGCGCAAAACGATTCAGTAACTGCTCTCACCTCTCCGCACATGAAGGTTTGAAGAGTGCTGTGAAAGATTATTGCAATAAAATGAGGGTAAAGTGGCCTTGAAATCACGTTCTATTTGTAAGTTCTATCCCAAGATGTGATAAAGGTCGAGTGTCTGGGGCACTTTTAGAAATATGAGAGGTACGTAAAACTATAACTGTCAAACTGCCAGTGTCCATGCTTAAGCATTGGGCCTATATCTGAATGTTGCTAGAAATGTGTGGGACATTTCTAGTTGGGTGTCCACCATAAAGTTGTCTTTCAGTGAAATCATGATATGTCGTATCAGGATTGCTTCAGATTTCGTTTCCTAAATAGCTTTTGTTACTAAAGCAAATATTAACCTAGGAAATAAAAGAAGAATGCTAAACAAACTGAATATATAGCCCTGCCTCTAGACTAATGACCACAGCCAGGACTCTTACGGTGTTACCCAATGTCATCTGAAATAGCTTGGGGTATATGTTATAACCTTTTTACTATAGCTCCCCAAAAAATGGGTGCTTATTTCTACTATCATTCGTTATGAGCCTTGTATAGGCATGATTGATCTGGAATTCGATGTTATGCTGGGTTTTGTTATATTCAACAGGAAAGTGATTATCCAGACTCAGCAGTTGCTAGACTTTTTGCATCTGCCAAGGGGAGTGGTGATCAATCGAGTGAGTACGGTGCTCTTGCCCACTGCTTGCAGAAATTGCCTTCTGAAGGACAAATGCGGGTAATCATGATTTACGCAGAACTTTTGACTTTCTTCTTGACAATTTGTTCACCTAATAATAGTTTTTTTTTTTTTTTGAGAAATACCTAATAATAGTTATTGATATATGTTTTAGTCTACTGCTGCTGAGGTTCAAAGTCTTCTAGTTTCTGGTAGAAAGAAAGAGGCCTTACAGTGTGCACAAGAGGGTCAGTTGTGGGGGCCGGCACTTGTTCTTGCTGCACAACTTGGTGATCAGGTTTCTCTGTGTGTGTGTGACTATATGGAATGCAAGATGTTGAATTAAAAGCTTGGATTCTCAATTTTTTTTCTCCCTCCTTGTTTCCACTTTTTCATTTTGTTTTGGTATTTTTGGGGGTTGTTGTTGCAGTTCTATGTTGAAACTGTCAAGCAAATGGCACTTCGCCAACTAGTAGCAGGGTCGCCTTTGCGGACTTTATGCCTACTAATTGCTGGTCAACCAGCTGATGTATTTTCCACAGAAACGACAGCTGATGGTGGCATTCCTCGTGCCGTAAATATGCCTCAACAGCCTGCACTGGTAATATGTCTATAAATTTGCGACAAGCTTATTGCTTCCTTGTCACTCTCATTTACATGCTTTATGTTGGTATCAGCTGATTTAGTATGCGCTTTTTTGTAGGCACTGAAGAGGTATTTTTGAGACCTCTAGGGACAGTTAAAATATGATGCACTATATATCTTGCCTTCAATATCCTGATTATTGAAGGCATTTTTGGAATGCATATATGTGCTTGCTTATTTACTATTAATTTTAGTTGAATTATTTCCATGATAACCCATCACTTGGAAATCTCAACATTTTTTTATTATGGCTAATTATTGCAGTTCGGTGCTAGTGGTATGCTTGATGACTGGGAGGAGAATTTGGCCGTGATAACTGCAAACAGGACAAAAGATGATGAACTTGTTCTTATTCATCTCGGAGATTGCTTGTGGAAAGAAAGAAGTGATGTATGTTTTGGCCATTGTGTATCTTGAAATGATTTTATATTATTGTTCTTGGATGAGTATTTTGTATCCTAACATTGGTTTTGTGCTTCCATAAAATTAAATCAGATTGTTGCTGCGCACATATGCTACCTAGTTGCTGAAGCGAATTTTGAGCCCTATTCAAACAGCGCAAGAATGTGTCTTCTGGGTGCAGATCACTGGAAATTCCCCCGAACATATGCTAGTCCAGAAGCTATTCAGGTGCTACTCAGTAGCCACTTTCTCATGGAAATTGTTTCTTTTGTAGGATAAATTAAACTTGCTTATCATGCTTTTTACTTTGTGCACTTGGCAACAAATTTGACTACTTGTAGTCTTCTAAACTTCTGGTTTTAGAGCGAGCATTCACTGTGAAATGGTGGTTCTTATAGGTTGCAAGGTTCATTTTGGTCTCCTCCTATAGCCAAAAATAATTTCTGTTTTGGGTTCTGTGGCTGTGCATGTGTGATTTGACACTAAGTATTTAATGCTTGGCCAGAGGGGAATCGGCACTGCTATATGGTAGAGTATTGGGCAATTAATAAACAACACACTTAAAAACTAAGTGTTGTAGAAATGATGATGTTAAGATGAATTTGTTGTGAAAAAAGAAAGAATAGAATTAGGAATGAGTATATTTGTGAAATCGCAGAAGTAGCATGAGATAAATTAAGAGATAATCAACTTAGGTTGATTGTATATGTTTATAGAAGGGACCTAGTAATGCACCAGTGAGGGTGAGTGATTTGATACATAGCAATAGTAGTTTGAGAGGTAGAAGTAGACTTGAAATTCACTTTGAACAAAATAGAAAAAATAATATACCAACTCACGGTTTAATGGAACAATATTGTTAAAATTATAATTTACACTTTGCACGCGACACATATGGCCTTTGATGAGCATAATGGAGAAATAGTGTTTTGGAGTTGACCCTAAATAGGGGTAAAGGCTTTGTTCAGTTGAGTTTTTTTTTTTCTCTATGAAGTAATGCTTGTATCAACCTTTAATTTGCTCTCTTCTTGTTGAAAATGTTGGAAATTTGTTTCATCTTGTTCTGTTTGTTTTTTATTAGATTGATTGACAAGTCTGTTAAGCTTTCTTTTGGGCTGCATGTCATAGCTTGTGTGGCTTTTGGAATCAAAACTGGGAGCTCAATGAAAATGCTTTGTGATGGGCTCTGTGATGTTTCAGTTCCTGATTTACAGACATGCATTTGTATTGACCCTTGTTTTTTGTTAGAAATACATGTCTCATGTTTGTGTCTCCATTTAACAATATGTAATGATTTCTCAGCTAATGGTATGATAAGCTGCTTTACATAAAAATTGCATTTTGGTGGGGATGCACGCCTCATACAATCATAGGGTCTGTCATTTCTGTTCCAACCTTGTTTTGCTTGCAATTTCTGAAGTCTTAAATCATATGGAAACAATTATCGTGTGTGGTTATACACCCTTCTGACCCATATTCATCTTTGTTATTATGTGTAATGGTTGTTGCACAATTGTAATGTTTAACTCATAGATTTCTCTATGTTAGAGCTATTGCTGTTAATAGTCATGTCTTATTTATTGATTATTACCAAAGAGCCATTTATCCACAGTATGTGTAATTTACTTCTTTTTGCTGTGTAGCGTCATTGAAATCTTTGACATGAAGTGACCATTGTTCTACTTGCTGGTTTGATCTATATGGAGATGGTCCTATGTAGATTTCATGATAAAAAATACATTTATATCAGCCTTGTTTGGGATATCTTTCCTCTTACAGAAGCTTGGAGTACCTCCTCTTCTTTATCTTTTCACTATGTCTCTTGTGCGTGCATATTTGTCTATCGATGTTCCATCATTGCTCATCTTAAGATTTTAGTCTAGCTGCATTTACCTTCTGCGAAGTCGTATTGGGAACCATTGAATAGAGTCCTGTAAAAGAAATTTAGCATGGTATAACTTTTCTAGAGAACATGGAATGGTGGTCTTCTTTACCGTATCAAAAGCTTAACAAATTTCAGAAGGTCGTAGTCACCCCTTCAGTGACTCTAGGGAAGAGATAGTCAACTTCTGCACTTGCACAATGTTCTCATTCATCATTAGTTATTTCCCATTTTTATTTGAGTTGAGAACTACCTCGATTTACCTATGTGATCTTAATCTATATAGGCTGACCTATTTTACCATTTTTTGACTCTGGTATAAAATGCTTCCGTTTCATTCCACGAATTAAAACAATAACCTTTACTGTAGGATTCGTATGGTAGAAACCTAACTTTTTGCCTGGATTCCATTTCCAAAATTGCTAGATTCTATGAATATTGTAGCATCTGTTGCCAGACATCAGCTTGTCGGCATTGCACTTTAATTTATCTCTCAAAACACCCAGTTTTTATTTTAATATTTGTGGTGTAGTTTAAGTGCATCTTACTGAACTGACTTATTTGGCATTTGGACAGAGGACAGAGATGTATGAATACTCAAAGGTTCTTGGTAACTCGCAGTTTATCCTACTACCGTTTCAGCCATATAAGCTAGTATATGCACACATGTTGGCTGAAGTGGGAAGGGTATCAGATTCGTTGAAGTATGTCAATGAGACTGCTAAATTTTAGTAATTCCTGAAATTTCTGCCTCTGGTTATATGAGCATATTCATTTAAATTCAGGTACTGTCAAGCAGTATTGAAGTCGTTGAAAGCTGGTCGAACACCCGAAGTGGAATCATTGAGACAATTAGTGTCATCTCTTGAGGAGAGAATAAAAGCTCACCAACAGGTACTTCTCATTACTTAAAGTAATGTCTTATCAACGAGTTATGGATCCCCTATAAGAGCAACTTTCTACATCCAGGGTGGATTCTCGACAAACTTAGCTCCTACAAAATTGGTTGGTAAATTGCTCAACCTTTTTGATAGTACTGCTCATCGTGTTGTTGGAGGCCTACCACCACCTGTGCCATCAACGTCTGTTGCTAGTGTACAAACTGTTGAATATCACCACCAATCAGTGGGGCCTCGGGTATCAACCAGTCAGTCAACTATGGCAATGTCATCATTAATAACATCAAAATCTAGTGAATGGGCATCTAACGGCAATAGAATGACGATGTATAACAGAAGTGTTTCAGAGCCAGACTTTGGAAGAAGTCCCAGACAGGTTGGTGGGCTGAATATTTAATGCACATAAATAAACATGTATTCATAGCCTAGATACTTGTATATTCTTGTTTTCTGATGATATCTGTAGAAAATGTGGGTTGTTGCCAATTTGATGTAGGATCCCATTGGTGAGTGAATAATTTAATGCACACAAACATATATTTATTATGCAGTTACTTGTATTACATGTTTTTTGATTATGTTGGTAAAAAATAAATGAGATGCTGCCAATTTGATGTAGGATCAGGTTGATTTGTCAAAAGAAGCAAACTCTGGTGATGCACAAGGCAAAGCACCAGTTTCAAGGGTGACATCTCGCCTTGGTCGTTTCGGTTTTGGCTCCCAGCTATTTCAGAAGACTGTGGGGTTGGTCTTAAAACCCCGTCAGGACAAACAGGTAGGTTTTTTGAGTTCCTTTTGTTCATTAGGATTCCCTCAATGATTCTTTTGTATTTGAGAGTTTCATATTGTGTCTCATTGTTTTTTGGTACTAATTTTTCTCCATGTCCATCTCCCCTTTGTTGCATTGCTCTGAAGGCAAAGTTGGGTGACACGAATAAATTTTATTATGATGAGAAACTTAAGAGATGGGTAGAGGAAGGTGTTGATCCTCCAGCTGAGGAAGCAGTCCTTGCACCCCCACCAACTGTAACCTTCCAGAATGGGATGTTGGATTACAACTTGAGGAGTGCGTTGAAAAGTGAAGGGTCTCTCAGCAACGGAAGTCCAGAATTTACAAGCCCAACACCCCAGGAATATAGTTCAGGAATCCCACCACTTCCGCCCACCACAAACCAATTCTCAGCTCGTGGACGGATGGGTGTTCGATCAAGGTAACTGAAAAACCAGTTTCTCGTGTTTCGTTCTTTCTTTTTTTGTTTTTTAAACTTCTACAGAAGAATATTTCTAATGTTTTTGCTGATACTGCATTTAATTCATGCACCCACACACCTTACCATAACAATTACACCCGCAACATGTGCTTACACAGCCCCCAACCCATGGCACACACACAACCATTGGGTTCATCAGAGATGTTGGGTGGGTTCAGAACTGAGCTTCGAATCCACTCAGATTCATGGGAGATGGTCCGAGCCCACCCACCATCTCTGAGAGGTTCAGACTCATTCATTTGGAGCTTAGAACTGAGAGAGAGAGAGAGATGATTGGTTGGTTTGTATATATGGCCTTTTTTACTTTGGTATTCAGCTTCTGATGGCAGCCTCTTTCTTCCGTCCCCCCCCCACCCCTCTCCTCCTCTCGCCTCTTTCTCTCTTAGGCCTTGCATTTGATATTGATGTCTTTAGTCGTCCCTCAGAAGCATCAACACTAAAGCAGTTGGATTCCTTGTGGAAACCCAAAAATTGGGCCAGCCAATTATTGTCTCGGCCACTGTTGCAGAAAGTTTTTGAATTTCAGGGTATAGATTGTTTTCTGATGGATATTGAAAATGCAGGCTGGAGTGGCAACATTTGTGGACTATTAAAATTTATTCGACTTCATTAAAATGTATAAATGAAATAAGGATGAGAAGTGTAATGCTTTGCTGGCTAGGTAGGTTGAGCTAGAAAGTTGGCTGGGTAACTCTTCTCAGTTCGTATGTGATTTTATTTGTGTCAGTATTTTTCACTTCCCCTTTTTGTATTCTTTTGACGATACGTCTAGCTAGAGGAATAGTTTTTTTCTGTTTCTTTTCTTCTTGTGTGAAATACACAATTCATCTCTGATTTGGCTTTTGGTAGGTATGTAGACACCTTCAACCAAGGTGGTGGGAACTCAACAAATTTGTTCCAGTCCCCCTCTGTTCCTTTCAATAAACCCTCTACTGGTGCCAATCCGAAATTTTTCATTCCCACACCAGCATCCTCTGTTGAGCAGGCAGTTGACTCTACTGCAGATAGCATGCGAGAAACTACAGTTACCGATGAATCAGTGTCCTCTATGGACATCTCATTACAGTCTCCTGCACCTTTGTCATCGACAACTATGCAAAGGTTTGCAAGCATGGACAACATCTCTAACAACATAATGGGCGGCAATGGCTCCCTTTCATCTCAATCACGTCGAACAGCATCCTGGAGTGGAAGCTTTGGTGATGCTTTTAGCCCTCCGGCTAGGGCTGAAGCAAGGCCTCTAGGGGAGGTATTGGGTATTCCCCCATCGTCTTTTATGCCTAGTGGCCCCTTTTTAGCACACTCATCAATGAATGGTGGCAATTTTGGGGATGACCTTCAGGAAGTGGAACTTTGAGGGAATAGGTATGTAAATATCAGGTTTTGCTTCTCCTTACAATTTCCCATTACTTGGTTCAATCTTGCTCCTAATCTCCCCATGCAAAGGGCCATAAGCAGCGGTAGGTGACCCAAGTGCTGTTTTGTCTTTTCTCTATATTTTCCATGTTGAATGTTGAAAACTAGTTGGCTCTCCTAGTTGTATACTGTAACTTTTAGAAGTAGGTTTTCATCTTTTCTGAAAGTTGACATCATCTGGTGCCTGAGGAGCCTGGTGTTTACAATATAGCAAAGAAGGTGCGCAAGGGCACTGTTGTACAGTTCATTTGTTCATTTATTGAAGAAAGAAACGTCTAAAAGTTCATTGAAGGTTGTTAAAGGAAATGCTTTGAAGAATTTCTTTGGGGTGATTGGCAAGGATAGTGTATGAAGATGGACGATAGATGATATCTTTGTTACCTTTCATTACAGTGCTCCATGAGTTTAACTTGTGTAACGTGATCCCTTAACAAAGGGTACGTAGTGAAGCTTGAGCAGCCAGGTCCTGTTGTTTACTCTTCCTGATGCCACTAGATTAATAGGGAGATTGAATAAGGTAGGACTCATTCCCTTTTTGATTCTTCTGACACTGAAATGCCTCTTAGGGATTTTCTTATATTTTTTTTTAGGAAAATTTGGAGGCTGGTCTCCTTATATAGACTTATTTGTAGATAAGTTTGATAAGAAAACTTATTTGATTTTAAGTTTATTTTTTGTTAAGTTTACTATCGTACATTTACCTTTTGAAAAAATAATAACTGACGTCTAACTTACCTTTTTTTTTACATAGGTTAGATTATTGAAGTATATATGGAAATCCTTAATTGAATTATATATAGAATCTGGTTATTTAATATTATGATAATTGATGAAAATTTTGTATGAAAGTTATATATTCTAAGAGTTATATATGAAAGTTTGATGTATGAATAAATTATTGGTCTATTAAGGCAAAATTAGATCATAAAATTTTCTTAACAATTTAAATTTTTTTTAACATTAGTGTTATTACAGTGACATTAATTTTACTATAGTGATACAAATGAAATTATTTTTCTTAAAATACTTAATATCTAAAATGAAGAATTTCACCATTTCAAAGTAATACAAGCACAACTCTAATTTTTACGTACACTGCTAATTGCAAATCTTTGGACGTATATTATGTAATATACACATTTAACTTTCACAGTAACATTAAAGATTTGTGTTTAGTAACATATCAACTTTTACAAAATATAAGGTAGTAAGGTTTTTATAGTAACATCAATTTTTGAATGATTATAGTGAAAATACGATCTACAAATTAAAAATTTATAAAATTTTTAAGTAGGAATACACTGTTGATAGTTGAATTAGGACACTTAACATAGAATCAAGAATATCAAGACATCGAAATTTTGAAATTCATTTTTCAGTTATTACACAGTTGAATTATGACACTCAACACTAATCAAGAACATCAAAATATTGAAATTCTGAAATTTATTTTTTAGTTATCATACAGTAACATGATTTATTTCACAGACACAGCCAAAATATTTCGAATGTCTTGCACAACAAAGAAAACAACAAAATCGAATAATATAATACTTTAATTTACTAATAATGAATATCAATTTTTAAATTAGGAATGCAAAAAAAAAAAAAAAAAAAATTGGACAGTTTGAACTATATATTATTTAAAAGTTTTTTAAAACCCTACAATGAACATCAACTTTTATGTAAAATTACATACCTTTAACTCTATTTCTAAATCCTAAAGTTGTGAAGATGTTTTGAATATAAAGAATCAATTGTAACTTTGCCATTGACTTTCACAGTAAACTTGAAGAGTAAAATCGAAATTAGAATTGAGTTTGTATTATTATTTGAAATGGTAAAATTCTTCATTTTAAGTATTAAATATTTTAAGAAAAACAATCTCATTCACTATAGTAACATTAGTGTTATTATAGTAACATTAGTGTTATTATAGTAACATTAATGTTAAGAAAATTTTGTGATCTGATTTTAATTTAATAAACCAACGATTTATTCGTACATCAGACTACCATATATAAATAGTTTCCATATATAATTCAATTATGGATTTTCATATATATATCTCAATAATTTAACTTATGTGACTTTCCATAACTAGATAAAACTAACACCATTAAAAATAATTTTGAGATTTAAGAAATAAGTAAACTTAAATACTTACATATAAGTTTAAACATGAACTTACCCCCAAATAAATTTCCTTCTAAAATTCAAGTCATTATAAGTCCATTTAAAAAGACTTACCTTTAATTTTCATTTTTTTTTATTTATACTGATGGTATCTACAGGATAAACCTACTTTAATCATACGGCTACTTTTGTCCAAACAATCCTCGAAATAGCAGCATAGTTTGTTAGGGGTAGAGTAATGATACGTGAGCCATATTCTTGGTTATTTTGAGTATCGTTATGTGGACCATATTCTTGCACCAAATGTTGTGAACTATTGAATTTGTGGAACCCACCAACACTAGTTACACAACCGACGTTATCATATCATTTGGTGCATAAATATGATACACATAGCATTACTCGGTTATTTTTACCAGCCATGACTTGGTTTGATAATAGCTATTGGCAGTTTGATATTAGAGGCCAAAACTGAGAACACTATACCCCAACTATTACCATTAAAGGCAAGAGCAACTGCAGTTTGGGACAGAAGCAGACAAGAAATCGAGGTAACACTGAACAAAAGAAAATTCATCATTATAAACAACTGCAAAGAATACGTGCAAAACAATTACTAAATCTAGCAGGCTCTGATTGCAAACATCTCTACAATGCAGTAGTGTCATACATATTCATGTAATCCTCGTATAATATAATCCATTATACAAAAGCGATTTGATAATAATAATACAATTATCGAATGACACCTAATATACATTATACAAAATTGATTCAATAATACTAATATACATCAATTTAGTTCAGAATGTGATCCCATTCTGAACTCTTCGCCCAAAATGCTATCTTTCAAATTTCATTAAAGTTCTCCACCTTAAACTTAGACTAAGAGTTTGTCCCCAAAATTTTGAAATGAGAGAGAGAGAGAGAGAGAGAGAGTTACGTGAAGAATGAGCAATTATAACCACTTACACAGTGAAACAAAACCAAAATGCATGATGAAGGTGACACATCAAAATTCGGCTGAGCCAGGTGCCCGTGGGAAAGGTATTGTATCTCTTATATTCTCTATTCCAGTTGCAAATTGGACAAGCCTTTCAAAGCCCAATCCGAAGCCAGCATGAGGAACTGGAAGACATAAAAACATAAGAACACCGCTTATGACACTAATGGCTCCAAAGTACAAAAGTAAAGGTTAAAATTTTCAACTATGTCACTAAAGAAAAAAGGCAACAGAGACAACTCAACATTTTAAAATCGGCATACACAAAATCTATGTCTAATTTGCCAAGGACATAGATTCTCTTGTTCCATGCACACATTCTTTAGTTTCTAGGAAGGGATACGGGCATTTTTGCCAGTTTCCGAGTTGTCCAAAGGGGTTTAGCATTGGCCTGCTTTATGGCCTTGGATGTCTCTGATCCTAGAAACTAAAGAATGTGTGCATGGAACAAGAGATGGATATCTCACCTGAGCCATAACGCCTTAGATCAAGATACCACCAATAACTTTCCTTATTGAGCTTTAATTCATCCAAGCGCTCTTCCAGATATTCGAGTCGTTCTTCTCTTTGGCTTCCACCAATAAGTTCACCCACCTGACAACAAAGAGCACTTCGTAGCATAAGGAGAAGAAATCAGAAAATAATTATGTATCAGACCCCAAGCAGTTGAAATTAGCAGTGGTTCAAAGCATGACACCCAATTTCATCCTTGTACAAATGATTGACCCCAAATATTCAAACTATTTGTGATAGGAAATCAATTGTTCTAGTTAGAAAAAAATATATAATTGACTACCATCTAGTTTCTCGTTTAAAGGTTATTAAATGTCCATTTCTCAATTTAAAATGTGCTTGCTAGATCAATTTGATTGCCATCATATGATCAGATGCATTCTGTAACCCTGTACAACCAATTTACAAATGCCATGGACACGCAACATTAGAATATATCATCATTCCCCCTCCCCCCGCCCAAACAAAATTCTAATTGTCTCGCCATAAAAGGTTGAGGCTAGAGAGAGCTACCATGTTGAAGCAATGAATGAGTTGGTGAGGTCAAAAGTGTTAGAGAATATGTTTTCCAACCAAGAAAAATGGGTATCCTTCAATAATTCACATTGTACAATGGTAAGCGAAATTCTGTCAATAGGATACTGCAGAAACACACATATTCACATACAGGAGCATACATATACATGTTTCACTGGTAGACCACAAAAGAAAGTGTATAACTTTATACATGCACACATATCAATATATACACATTTAGACATTTTATCAGGATTTCATCCACTAGTAGTCCTTTAGTTGATTGGGGGGAAGGATAATTAAAAAGAGAATGCAAAAGCATTAGGTATATAACAATAACCATATAACACGTAACATAATATTGCAATCTTCGAACCTAAAGTTCCCCTGATGCATGTAGACTGCAACTTTTAAGTCTCCAACAAACGTATTCACCATGACAAAAAAGAAATGAAACCATAATGCAGATATTACCCGAGGAACCAACATATCCATGGCTGCAACAGTTTTTCCATCATCATTTTGCCGCATATAAAATGCCTTGATATCCTGAAAGTTTTTAATAAAAAAGCTTTCAATATTAGCATTCTGGCGTTTTCCCTTGTTAAGGTCGGTTGGGAGAAACATGCCTTTGGATAGTCTCGTACTATTACTGGACATCCACCAAAAGCTTCTTCCGTGATGTAACGTTCGTGCTCACTTTGCAAGTCACATCCCCATTTCACCTATAAGACACAACTGATAATGCATAAAAAGTGTGTTGAGCACTATCCTATATTGTGGACAGCCCCATTCTTTAATGTAATAGTTTGTTCATGGAAAAGGAAATAAAGAAGCACAGTACTTTGATCCACATCGGATGGAATTTATAAGTTGTGTGTATTGCAAGATTACAAAGTTATTTAACTGAATATACCATGTAAACAGCAAATAATCTAAAAAAATAATCACGACATTCATTTTATTGTAGTACATTGAATGTAATATCACTAACTGTCTGCAGTTGAATAACTAAAAATGGATAGAGAACAAATTCTCGTCACAAAAGTATCGAGAGTCAAAAAAATACATACCGGAAATTCGAATTTCTTATTTGCTTTTAGAAGAAATTCAATTGCATCAGTGTAAGTCAACTGCACAAAGTTTTTCTCAACCACATCCTGACAGTTAAACAAACAATTAAAAAGGAATCCAAAATATCGGGCACATGTAAGAGAATCTATGTCCTTGACAAAGAAGCCAGAACACAAAATCTGAATAGAAGAACCAGTCACAATGCAAGACAACAAGAAAGGGAATCATTTAATGGATGGCTGAGGATAAATTACGCTAAGAATTCATACACTGAGTCGGTTGATAATTCCTTTCTCAATCCAAGTATTGAAGAAATCCATATCTTCCTTGCAATTTTCAAGAACATGTTTTACCTTCCACAAGAAAAGTTATATTAGTTCAGTGCCCAAATTATTACCAAAAAGAAAAACGAGATGACCATAAAAACGCCAGATATGGTCCAACAGATGTAACAAGATGACAACAGATGCGAAGTAACTTACTACATACTGGAGATAGGCAGCTGCACAGGCCATGTCATCATTTAAGTCAGCAAATGCAAGTTCTGGTTCAATCATCTTAAACAAAGGAGACAGCAGAAAAAAAAATCTTAGAGGAGATAATCAGTGTTAGGCATTCTGCTATATTAGGCATAACCATAGAGCCCGGATTCGTGAAAGAAACTAATGAAGAAATTGAAGTCCTAGACAAGAAGAAAATTAGTGTTGGGCACTCTGCTATATTATGCTTAAACCATAAAACCTGAATTTGTGAAATAAGCAACAAAGAAATTGAAGCTCAAATAATTCAAAATCTGAAAAAGTTGAACACCAAATAGATACCCAAAATTCAGCCAAGTGTCTGGAAGTGTTAGAATTTTCAGCTCGAAATGTTGGACCAAATGTATACACCTGGTAGAAAGTACATGGTGTCGTAAGACTATGATTTTGGAGAATAAGCAGATAACAGATAGTCACAATTTCCGCCTAACAAGTACATTAACTTGAGGAATAGAAGGGACAAAAGTATTTACATCAGAAAGTGCAGTAGCATATGTTTCGGCATTGAGTTGGCCAGAGACAGTTAAGAATGCTGGCTTCCCAAAAAAATCCTGTAAAACGAAAAATCCAGATGAAAAATACATCAAAAGCATTCTACAACTACAAATGATTTCACTTACAAAAATTAAGGAACTGTACTAGAGTGTAATGGGTAACAATTATTGGCAAAAAGGATAGTTCCTCTACACATGATATTTCCTTCCTTTAGAAGATGATATGATTAAGGAATCAATGTATTTTTCGGAACTCATGGGCATCACATCCAGCAAACACCAAAAACTACTTACTAAAAAAGAAGATTGCTACAATCCAACAATTTATAAAGTTTTGACATCTGATCATTAAAATATTCATACCAAAAGTCCACCCTAAACCTCATTTTTTTTTCCCTGAATTTGTAACTTCTACAACTTCAACCATCAATACGTCCAACACTTAGTTGATGTTATGCTTCCTGTTTCACATCTTAAAATAAGCCCACTGTAAGCCCTGAAGTTCTTCTGTAAATCAATATATTTTGGACTTCATAAGGGAGGAAATTAAAACTTGTAGGCCAAGATTGATGCCCATCCATAATAATAACACCTCAAGTTGCTGGGCATGCAAAAGCTAGTACCATTTTCAAATTATCATAATAATTTAAAATAAAAAACCAGAGTCCATCGTGCCCCTCAACCTCCACAAGAAGTACTTTCAAATCCACTTTACTTGGTGTGGCATGATGAACTACAGAAACTACACCCTTTAAGCAAAATTTAACTAATGTTACAATTGCATTTCACAAAAGAATGGAGAATGCATTAGCTGAACCAGCCACGAAGACACAATTTAAGCAATACCCAAAAAGTCAGCTACTTACAAATATGAACAGTTTAAATTACTGGACACACACACACTATTTTGTCCCAAGAACACAAGGAAGAGCCAAGATATGGACTCTACTTACTTGTGACCAATCAATTAAACCAACATCAGTTTTGGGGATCGCATCCACGGGAGAATCAATTGCTTCTCTGGAGCTGGGAATCTGTTCAATGAACAAAATCTTACAACACCAATGTATGTATGGGACAAATGAAAGTAACAATGCTGTAGCTTAACCCAAATTACACTTTCTTTTTTGCTGACATTTTGGCTTCCCACATAAACAAGCAGAAATTATTTTTTGCACTGTGTAGTTGGTTCATTCACAAGCATTAAAAAAAAAAATGCAGCCATGCATCTCTACAGATCCTATTAGTTTAAGTGTCAAACATAAAACATGAGTGAGACATTAACCACAAAAGTGAAGGAAAACCTATTGTATCAAAGAGCATACCAAAGTGGTCACACAAAACTGTTCACCAGCTCCTTCACAATCTGAAGCAGTAATAATTGGACTTGAGATCCATACAAAACCATTTTCTTGGAAAAACTTGTGCGTAGCATAAGCCAAAGCATTCCTCACCCTTGCAACCTAAAAACACTTTGCACATAAGAATGCCTAGCAATCAAACTGAAGGATATAACTCCAAACAAAAGTTATTCAGTTATTAAAAAGGAATAAAGCATTAGCTATATCAAACCTGTCAATCTTACACCTAGGAAGTGTAGATACTGCTCCCATTTCTACGTATCAGTAGGTAAAATCAGTGGTGGTCACATCTAGGACCTTCATAAATGTGTCAAAAGTGGAAAAGGTGTGCAAATTACTTTTTTTGTTTTTGGCATCTCAGACATTCTGGGAAGATGTTCAAGACAGGTATTCTTATTTTGGAAAGAAAGAAAACTGAGGGTCAACTATGAATAATTAAACCCCTGAACTAAGAAAAATAAAATAAGTACTAAAAGAAAAGAAGATAAGGAGAAGATGCGATCACCTTACAGCCATCCGCTCTAAAAAAGTGAAAAATCAGGAAGAGAAAAGGAGAAAGAGGAAACTAAAAATATTAACTCTGACAAACATGACATCCAACGATGTCTTCCAACAGCCTCCAGTGATGACATACCCGTCATGCTAAAAGCTTTTGGACTCAAGACCTAGTTTACATTGCAAGACTATAAAAGACAAACAATTTTTTTTGCACCAAAGAGCATTTTGCAGGAGAAGATATATACAAACCTAACCGACAGTGTGTACAAGCAGTAACTACGACTGCAGAAAATAGGATGGCATACTAAACAAAAAAAGCTGAACCATACCGCACCAAAAGTGTTTGTTCTAGGCCGAAGATGAGCCTGGGTTCTCAAAAATTCTCTGCTAACCCTTTTCTTTTGGATTGGATAGGAAGGATCACTCTTTCCGACCTATAAAAATCATGGGTATGCAAAATAAGTTTAAAGTTGCCTAACATCATATAGTCCTAACATATAGCAACGGAATTCAAATATTAAAAGAAGCCATAAGAGAGAACAAATCTAAGTCCCAATATACCCAAGGATCAAAATTTCGTTTCGAAGTACTGTTTCGGTCAACTCAAAAATAGAAACGTTTCGGAAACATTTCGGAAACGCAATGGAAACGCAGAAAAAATATGGAAACGCATAGAAACACAAATGCAATCCATTAATTTATAAAGATATGCTAAATAATTTATTAATTCAACATATTTATTAGGTTAACATCAATTTATACAAGAATAAATTTAAATTTGAGGGAAAAAAAGGCTTGACTTGAGGCGAAAGTCACTTAAATTAGTTTCAAACACTTAATTTTTATGAAATGAACACATTTTTACATAATATTAAGGTCTTATAATACACATGAAATGCTAATGAGTACATACTTACATGGTTACATCCATTCCCCTGTGGAGTGTCGAGCAGGCTCATACATCGGTGTAGGCTCTGGGTAGCTACTTAGAGAAACTCCATATGTGACATAAATATGATGACAATAGTTACTCCAAATCATATTATTACGGTAATATAATCCAATTAATAATACTATTTTATTATAATACTAATAATGAAGGGTATCAAATTAAATTAATGATACTTATGTATACTTAAAAATTAAATGTAATTGCAGTGGGTATTAAATGTAATTACAGTAGGTATTAAATATAATTGTTAATACTTATAACAAAAAAAAAAGCAAAAAACTTGCACAGCAGTGAGGTATTAAATATAATTACAGTATGTATTAAATATAATTATAATGGGTATTAAATATAATTATAGTAGGGTATTAAGTGTAATTATTTATTCTTATAACAAAAAAATTATAAAAGACAAAAGAGCAGTGGGAATTAAATGTAATTATAGTGGGATATTAAATATAATTATAGTGAGTATTAAATGTAATTACAGTGGGTATTAAATATAATTATAATGGGGTATTAAATGTAATTATTCATAATGAACCGAATATATCACTGTTTTGTCGAAACGGTTCGAAACAATGCCGTTTCGACCGAAACGGTCCGAAACAGTTCGAAACAGTACCGTTTCGACCGAAACACTGGAATTTTGTGATTCAACTACTGTTTCGTTTCGGAGTGTTGAAATTCCGAAACGTTTCGGACGTTTCGGACGTGTCGACACGACATTTTGATCCTTGAATATACCCAATATCTTTGTTTTCAATTTGATGTTTCTTCAGAGTGGTTTGACACATCCAAGCTTGTCTTTGCTTTATATGGGGAAGTCCATAACCGCAAGTGTTTTGAGGTGGCTGGACACTCTTGGATGGCTCCAAGGTCCATTTCATCTATGTTTGGTGTAGACTTCCATGGTTTTGGAAAGAAAGAATAGCAAAGGAGTCACTCTTTGGTTGTGTACAATTTTTGCAACTATGTGGGTGATTTGGATGGAGAGAAATATAAAAATCTTTGAGGATAAGTACCAGGTGGTTGCTGGTTTATGAAATTGTTTCCATTTCCTAGCTTCTTTTTGGGCATTGACCAACAAGAAGTTTGACAACATTGCTTTCTTTGGCATCTTGGGAAGTTGGCCTGCTGTTTGTAGTTGAAAGACGAATGTTATGTTTAGGCTTGCTGCCTTTGTGGGACTATTATGAGGATTGGACTGTGTTAGAGTATGTGTGACTCATATTTGCTGTGTGCACAATGACAAGGAGGCAGATGCCGGAGCGGTATTTGTATAAAGGGGATGCTAATTAGTTGGGGGTGCGGAGGCAACGCTCCCGCGGTACGGTACAAGGGTATTTTTGTAAATACGTCCGTATTAGGGTTATATAAATACTTAAAATATAACCCTACTTTTAATAATGAAAAAGAACGGCCGCTCGCTCTCGTGGATGTAGGCACATTGCCGAACCACGTAAATTTCTGTGTGTTATTTTCTCTTACTTTCTTAATTGTTTGATTCCTTATTATTCACCATAATTGCTGCACGATCACAACAAACTACTTGTCCACCCTTAATCTTTTCTTATACTATCTATTTCTTCTTAATATTAAAATTTGTACTTATCCAAAAAAAATTGCGACATAGATCATTTCTTGTCTAGAAACAAAAAAGTTCACAAAAATTCAACAACTTGTGCTAATGATATACTCATACACCTTCCTATAACATCTATCTGTTTACGGTCTCAAAATAGTTTTCCTTAAACAACTCGATCAGTATTCCATTCTAGAGAATGCTATCCATTTAGAAGTAAACATAGCCACAGGTTTAATCACAATGAAACAATATGAAATGATATCTTAGGAAGTACGGATACTTCTCGGAGTGTGATATGGCAATGTTGGACACGTATCCGATAAAGACATGCGTCGAACACGACCGGACACGTGTCCAACACATGACTAAAAGTGTCCTAAATGATGAAATCAGTTGGATACGGGCAAGACACGACAGGATTTTTTTTCTTTTTTTACCAAAAACGACAATTAACCATTAAAAGCAGTTTGATTTATTTATTTTTTTTTGTGTTTTTTGTTATATAATCATAGACTATGAATGTTAATGGATATAATAATGTTTGATGAAAATGGTGGTTTTTTTTTATCTATCCCAATTTTAATCAAAAAATTAATATTTCCTATATCTTATTATTAATATTTTTATAAATATACGCTTTGTTTTTAATATATTTATATTTTAAAACTTTGATGTATCGTCGTGTCACTCGTGTCCGTAACGGTGATTTCTAGCTGATATCACACCTTTCTTTTTTCGTCCTTCGTGAAAGATTTTAAAATTTAAGGCTCTTTTACCAGACATGGCTACTCTGGAACCAAGGATTTGATATGATGAAATGAACCCCAATTATCCAGAAGTAAACAAACAAATGGTAATAAACCAACAATCACCCCCAACAATACTACTTTAAAAAAATTAATTCAATGCATTCAGGTCAACTTATCATCTTAAGGACAGTTGAAGCCCTAGGTTATATGTTAAGCCCTGCTTTCATGCTAATTTTTGGACTTCTAAACTTTAACACCTGAAGGACCTCAACCTAAAGCAATGGAGAGGGCATATTCACAACTTGGTGTCCCAATTCAATCTTTATTAGTTCGAAAAGGGAGCATAACAAGGCTTACCAACATGTGAAATGATGGCCAGATTTAAACAAGCTTCAGTGCAATTAATAATTTTCAAATTCTGCCCAGCTATTAATTCTTTCTGGATGTACAGGACAACATATAGAAGAGAAATTGCACAAAAACAAAATAACTAATTATATGACCAACTAAAGCATAAATTAACAAGGACACAGACCTACCCTTGAGGAACTCCCACAAATATATAAGTGAATTACAAAAGATGCCCATGTCTAATTTGCGACCATTATAAGTATGGGAATATCAAATGTTTCTAACTACACATTTACAGAAATAATAGAAACTTCAAAACAGAGTTTAGAAGTTTTCTGCATTGCAATTAAACATTTTGTAGTTAATAATAACGAAAATATAAAAAAAATTCTTGTCCAAATTGTCATCCAATTCACAAAGAAAGGGGAGCTCTTTACCGAAACAAGTTTATCAACCCTTAGCTCTACTTTTTGCTTTGATCCTTGGCTGGTTACTAATATCCCTTGGACCCATATCGACGCACCAGTTGAAATCAAGCCACTCTCCACCTATTAACAGCTTCAATTTGCTTAGAAATATGGAACAATAGCATGAAAACTATTTTCATGATGTCACCGCCATGTGAAAAGAGATGTCGGCAATAGCACACTACACATTATATATCACAAAGAAGACAAAAATTGCGCAATATTTTACCTGTTCATAACCCTCAGCATCGGAGTTGATCACACATTGCATGTTTGAAAGGCATGAACCATCATTAATCTGTCCATTCAAAATACACATAAAACAGTCCTTACTACCCTAAAAGACACTGCCCATTTAAAATGTCCATTTTCCAACTAAAACTCAAAGAAAAACTATATTTTTCATTTACATTATCAATACCTCGATAAATGTAACACTGCTCTGCACTCTTTGTGTCCGGACCCAACCCTGAACTACCAAAGTCTGCCCCAATCGATCCAAACCCTCGTCAGGCCCTCCTTTTATATCCACAATCCTCAATCTTGTACGAAATTCCCCAACTATTTCACCAATTTCAAGGCCTTGCTTTTCTGACAACCCAATTTTTAGACTCTCCACGGCCTCGCCCGAGGAGAGAGCTCCGGCGATAACAGTGCAAAAGCACCGACGGTTGGTTACGAAGATGGACGAAGCGGCTCCGCAGAATGGTGAGGGAATGGACGGAGTGTGGAATTTTGGCGGGAAAATAGCACTGGTTGCTAGGGTTTTGAATTGTGTGGGGAGAGTTTTGGGATATAATCCCCGGCAGACGGAGAGGAATTGAACGGCGGAGAAGGGTTTTAGGCGGAGAGAAGTAGTTGGAGACAGAGCAACAGCCATTTGGCATAGGTAGCTCGCTCTCTCGCTCTACGTTGAGTTATAGTGGCCACTGCACCAGGCTAGGTGAATATTGAAAAGTGATATATCCCAAAAAAAATTTCGTGAAAATATATAAAATTAAATGGTGATAAGATTATTGAATCTTACATTAATTAAGTATCTGATTTATCAATTTGTAATTTATTATTTATAATTAATTAAAACTAAAAATAACCATTTAATCCTACATTAACCATGATGTCCTCTAAAATTCTATAATCTCTATTTTTTAAAAATAATTCTCTAAATTCTAATTTCATGATTAATTCTAAATTTTTTATATTTTTTAAACAGTAATTTATGAAATAAATATAAATAAAATTTATGCAAATATAAATTTTAATTAAATAATTAAGTATATTCGAATCAATGCATATTTTAGTTAATTTTATTTCTAATTTATTTAAGAAGAAGTTATATTTATCGGGACTAAAATATTCAAATTTTCGATCCCAAAATATAGCACTTGATAATTATCTGTCAGAGAGCAAACCAATAAAGCTCTGGCAACAGGGGTTCTTCGTGGATAAGACCCCAGCAGAACATAATTCTTCCAGTTCATGTCGAAGTAGTCAAGTCAAGCTCAGTCGGTTGGTTAATCTCGGCCGCTGGTTTTGTTCCATCCCCACCTTGGAGAACCAACCTCAAGGTCCTCATCGACGCCTTGTGGGTTGCTCCGTCGATAACCACCACCACCCCCCCCCCCCTCCCCCAAAAAAAAACACGCACACTCTCTCTCTCTCTCTCTCTCTCTCTCTCTCAGTTGCCTTCCCAACAACAAGGAACAATTGTTGTTAGTGAGAGAGAAACTTGTAAATTTAAGAGAGAGAAAGTAACCGATAGGCGATACCGAAGAGAGAAAAAACTATTGTACAAATCGATGGCTGACCACTCCGACGATTTAGATGAACTTCTTGACAGTAAGAACATAAACTCTCTCTCTCTCTCTCTCTCTCTATGTATATATCGATGGCCATGTAAGTATATATGTAATTCAACTTATAATAATTCAAGAATAAATACTCAAGTTATTTTGAATGATTTCAGGCGCTTTGGATGATTTTCAGAGCCTCAATCTGACCTCTTCTGCTCAAAGGTTCAAACTTTCTCACTCGATATTTATATATTCACTTATATATGGATATGTCTTGGTGATAAGGTTTGCCATTTGATTTAAACTATGGATAAGAGGTTTTTTTTTTCCCAAAAACTAGAATTGGGGATGGTGATGGTACAAAGCAAGAGTGTTTTCCAATGCCTAGTGGAATTCAAGGGCTTGGGATGGGTTTACCTGATCTGAGAACTAAGAAAAAGGGCAAGCAACAGGTTTCTAAAGAATCATATGTTTCAGAGGCTCTTGACAAGCTTAGAGAGCAGACTAGGGAAGCTGTTAAAGGATTAGAGTTGATGACCGGTGCGAAACCCTGTGGAGAGAATTTGGAAAATGATCCAATGATGGAGGATTTGGTGAAGCAATTTGAGGAGCTTGCTGGTTCTCAGGTATTTTCTTTCAATTCATAAAATTAGGGCTTAGGGTTTTAATTGATAATTTGGATTTAGTAGTTGCTTGTTTGATTATTTTATTGTTATTTGTGAATTATTTGTTAGAAGTTGATATTGTCTTGTACTTTTGAGTCGAGAATTCAAGGATTTGGTGGACTTTCCAATACCATTTGTCATTTGGATGTATTTCTGTCAATAGGAAAAGCAGAGGCTTGTGGTAACTTGGAGAAACCATGTTGCTTTAATAGAACATCATTACATTCAGGCATAAAAGATGTTGAGGCTGTGTTTTCAAACAACAATTCTAAAATGTGTTGGTTAGTTGTCTAAGAATGTGAAGTGGCTTACAATTTGTGCAGCAATTGACATAGCAATGTGTTTTGACACTGCCCTGAAATTGATTGGATCCCCCGCCCGTCGAACGAACAGTCCATAAAGTTTAAACGACGAAAAAAAATCAAATGGTGAACTAATATATGGAAAAGGTATATAGACTCAATATGTTCCCATCTGTCCCAAAAATTATAAGGGAACTACAGTATAGTTGAAAAGGAGAGCCTTTATTAAGAAATATGTGTATTGGTTGGTGTTGATTTTTTTTTTTTTTCTCTTTAGAACATGGAGTCTATCGTGGAGACCATGATGCAACAGCTTTTGTCTAAAGAAATTCTTCATGAGCCTATGAAAGAAATTGGAGAACGATATCCAAAATGGTTGGGAGACAACAAGACTAAATTGAGCAGCCAAGAATATGAACGTTATTCCCACCAATATGAACTCATAAAAGAGCTAAATGAAGTGTATGTAACTGATCCTGCCAACTTCAACAAGATTGTGGAGTTGATGCAGAAAATGCAAGAGTGTGGCCAACCCCCAATGAAATTTTGCAAGAGCTTGCTCCTGATTTTGACATATCAAGTCTTGGCCAACTGTAAGTATTTTACTCTACTGCTTAGCTATAACAAAATGTGTAATTTGTATGCAAATACTATCTTGTGTTTATGCCTACTTGCATGTTGCTGATTCATCCGTGGTGAATGATTTGTCATTAATCCTTGTTCTTCTAAGGTGTTACTTTTAGATGGGAGACTTAATTGTTAGGATGGAGTAATGATAGGAAAGCCGTTTGGGGCATTTTTCCACCCTAGCTCTTCTTATATAACACATTGTATGAATTGAAACAGCATCTGGTTCTTTGTGTTGCTCGCCAATATTTGAGTTCTTTGTGTAAATAATCTCTAATAATGAACTGAACTCGTCATTTATCTCCCTCCTGCAGATCTCCGGAGATGCTCGATTCTCAACAAAATTGTCGTATAATGTGAAGAAAGACCTTTCTTCTTGCTTGCATTTTACTTTCGTTTCATATGGTACATAGCATGACCATGTCTTTGCATTGGTAATCAGATACTCAATTTGAGGTTGTGAAACTAGATACAAGGAGCCAAGGTTTCCTGTTGTCGAATAACCATATTTATCAATTTAAGGATGCCTTGGAACGGCAAACAATGGTCTCTCTCCCTCTCTCTCACACACACACACACACATGCACGCACGCACGTGCTCACACACAAAAGCAATAATTTTATTGATATCAGATGTGTGGTGTTTACACCAGTATCGCAAATTTCCAAACAAAAAACGAATAAAGAGAATGAAACTCAAATGGTTCTATTGTTACAGATTGATACCATGCATGTGGAAAATTCTGAAAGATTGAATAGCTGAATTTCTTAAAAAGAATGAAAAAATTACGAGGGATGAAAAAAAAAAAGGAAGAAAGAAAATGGCATTGTGTGTGAATGATAGAAATCTAGGCATCAGAGGGCGCAATCCAATGCCTTCCATTGACGAAGCTCTTAGCAAGGAAAGGATGGGCCGAATCGTAGTCGAGCTCTCGGGCCCATGACACACCACGGACTGCTGCAATTCCAGGGCCCCAGCAGCTGTAAACTCCAAAAAAAACAGTCCTGCACACAATTGTACCAATTGATAACAATTTTAGTACATGATACCACTCAATGTGAAAAATGGGGCGTAAAGCTTGTCACACAACGAGATCAAGGGAACGACATTTTTCTTGCAATAATTTATAAACTAAACTAAACGAAACGAATAAATAGTGAGTCATTTAATTAGAACGAAGTTGATAAAATTTTGAATTAGGAGATCCAAATCCAATTTATTAATGTATAAAATGTAAAAACTCGCATTTTTTTTCTGGAAGAAATTTCAATCCTTTACATATCAATCATGTCGAATTTGGATACCCATGGTAGGATACATAAGTGAGACCAATAACATGATTACGGGTAATTGAAATTGACGAAAATAGGAAATTTTGAAAATAAGAGGATCTGGATTTTATGTATTTTTCTTTTTTTCTTTAATGCATTGATGACATTATTTTATTGCATAATTATTAAGCTAAAACCTCAAGCACTTGATTGGGGACTCAACTTCACTGTTATTGGTGATAAAGATGAGGAGAGTGGGGCTCACTTGTTCTTATTGTTGACGTGGTCCCAGTCATCCCAACCACCGTGTGCAACCACGTCATCAAAGTAAGTATAGGAGAAGACAATCCTGGAGTACTGGCCCATTGCTCGGCCCACATACAGTGGGCCCGTACCAGTCACTCTGCATCTCACAAAAGCAAAGCCCGTCTTCTCATACGGCGTCTTCCTGTCTTGGGCCGCGATGGACCCGAATTCAGTGGCTATTGAATGTAGTTCGCAGTCCTGCACCAATCACATATAACATTCAGAGTCAACACTCTCAAAAGCAATTACCAAGCCATCCATTAAATATTTAACGGTAAATATTTGATTTATTGTGATAATACGTTGTTTCTTATTGAAAAAATAAATATTAAGCCGATTTTATTTTTTCAATAATTCATGTTCAAATTTCTTATAAATTAAAAAATTATTTTGATTGTAATTTAATTTTGAATAATTTTTTTAACTTGAAGTTTAGCACTTTACATCGGAATTTTAAGAAATTGCCCTATTTTAACAAATATTTGTATAAATATTCATAAATTTAAAACAAATCCATAAAACTTAAAGCTCGTAAGAATAATAGGAAAAAACTAGAATTTGAAAAGACATTACATAAGCATGGGTGCTTTGCTCACGATCCCACCCCATCAAGAGAAGGACGTCGACAATCATATTCAAATTCAAATTAAAAGTCAAGAACAATCGCCATGGGAGGTTAGCAATTTATTTTTTTGCATGGGTAAGTTATTTGCTTAAATTATTTAGATATCATTGGGTAATTATTCCTTGGGCGGGGTGTTGCCTAAAGTCCCGGTCATTAGACTGTACTCATTTTTTCTTTTTCTGAACTGGGGCCCGGGACCGGGGGCCCTGCCCCAATTTGCCTGAGCAGATATATAGAAAAAGCTATCCCTCTTTTCGGACTGCAGAACATTTATTATTTTAACGGATATTTTTATATATTTTATGAATTATTTTATAATTAAAAATTTTATTATTTTTAATAGTAATTATTTTTACCACTGTTTGAAAATACAATAATAATAAAAATATCTATAAATATAATAAACGAAGGTATAATACTTTTTTTTTCTTTTTGATACCACAGACAATGTCTTTCTATGGTACACTTTTTTTCTGTTTTCAAATACCATAGAGTCACGGACACGAAAAGCAGAAAAGGACAACAAGCCTTTGTCGACTTGGCCACCACTTTTTGACAAATGACGATTTTCATCATTTATGGAAGACTGGAAATTATCCTCGTGAACTGATGTTAACGAATATCAAGATTCGAATTTAAGTAATAGGGGTTTATAATTTTTAATTATTCATTAAAATTTATTTTAAATTTAATAATTATAGTTGATTAAAATTTTAAATTAAGTGCTTAAATTAAATTTAAATAATTTTTTTTAATGATAATAATAGTAATTATAATAAAAAAAGAGAGAATTTACATTAACTAGTATACAAGAAAAGTAAATATTACATTAAAAAATAATATAATAGCTTTATTTGGGACTTATTTTAGTGATTTCATTTGTTTGTTAACTCTATGGCAACAATTGAGATTTATTATCAATCCAACGATTTATAAATTAAGTTCATATAGCATTAATAGAAATAAGATTATCCCTAAATTAAATGGCAGGAGATTCATCAAAGGGAAGCTGCTTACTTTGTACATTGACCTTCCATTGCCAAAAATGAAGTCAATAGAACCCTCGATGTAACACTCCTTGAAGTAATGTCGGCCGGCGTCATCACAAAGAGTGTCTTGTGCACCGTAGAATCCACAGCCGGAGAAGTAAGCCTTGTCACCGGAGATCCGAAACGCCACCGCTTGCCACCCTTCCATCCCCGGCATGGGTGCCGGCGCTGTATTCTACACCATTCAACAAATACATCAATTTTTCCCGGTCTACTCCCTAGCTAGGGGTGTATTTGGCCACCCCTCACAATATAAAATATTCGAGTGTAACATGAAGTCAATTCGACTATTATTCATATATAAATTTTTGAACTTTGGATTCGGTTGTTGTTTTATTCTTAGATTATACAAATAAAGTAAGACTCAACTTGGGTTGATTCCAAATTTCGTTATTACTAAAATAACTCAGGTTGAATCTTGAATTTAATTATTTGAGACAATGATTGGGTTAGATCGTAAGAACCCTACACTTCAATTTGAGTATTAAACGAATTGAAATTAAAGTCTAATCAATTCTTGTATTAAATGGTTTTGTCTACGTAGTGAATTTGTATATTGAGATAGAGTTGAGGTCAAGGATCTCATCATAATTTTAACTATGTCATTGTCAATGGGTAAGGAATAGAGGACAAGGAGTTGTTACCTTGAAGCTTATGTTTCTGGCGGAGAAATAATTAGCAAATACTGATACAGAAGCTGAATGATAGGTTCGAAGCTGTTGGCCGTCCTGTCCACGGTCGCTTGCTCTGTCGTGCCACTCGATCACCGTCACATCCCTCCCGGCGCCTTGGAAGGTGATATACGGTTTTGATGCCGGCACCACCACCTTCTCTCTGTTTAACCAATGCCACCACATTGTATCAGTTAAAAGCCATGTCCACATGCGAGCCCTCTCTCTCTCTCTCTCTCTCTCTCTCACACACACACACACACATGTTAGAAACTACGTCTTGCTAAGCTATAATAATAGGTTGATAACAAAATCTATGTAAACATGGAAGGAAATGTTGGACAACTAGGAGTCCATTGATACATAAACATGTGTGATATTCGTACCCGTTTAAAAGAAGCGAGAAAAGTACTTTCTATCTGTATGCGAGTGTGTGTGTTTTGTTTGTTTATACTTTGGAACTTGGAAGTACTTTTTCTTGCTTCTCAAAACAATATATGTGTGTGTGTGTTGCTGTATGCTAACTCGACAATGTCTTAGCAGTGAACTATACATGTAACAACCGGGGCTAATCTGAATGAGAATAGTTTCTGTGTTGTCCACGGGGACGGAGTCAACAGCTGCTTGAACTGACTGGAAGTCGCCGAAACCACTGACGTCGACGGTGATCAGACGGTGACCGGAGGGCCCCACCCACCTGCGATGAAGCTTTGTGGAGTTAGAACATTCTATTAATGGCACTGCAAGTGATGTAAGAAGAAAGTACATGAAGAAGAACATAACAAAGAGAGAGTTGAGGGAAGCCATTAAATTAAGTAGCATTAAATGTTGAGAGAATAGAATTCAGATGAGACTATAGAGAAAATGTGTAGAGAATATATATATGTATATATATATATATATATCGGTGGAGAGGAAATTATGTGGTTCGTCGTTGGATCTGGTGGTGATGTAGTGTTGAAGAGGCCAGTGAGCTATATCGTTTGTACGAATATCAAAGGAGAGAGGTCCAGAGACACACTTATATATGAAAGTAGGATTTTGGCAATTGCAACGGTCATTTTTTGTGTTCGCTCGCATTCAGAGTGATGGGTTACTACTTCATAACCCTAAGTTCAGTTTCACTGTCGCAATAATTTGTATGATATGTGTTTGTTTTGTTTTTTCAAGTGTGTTATGGGTGTATGAGTCAACTTGCATATCTCCTTCTTCTTCTAATCAAAAGTAAGTTGGTTCAGTCCCGTGTAATTGTTAAGATTCGAATTCATAACATTTACTTTTATAATTCGTTTCTGTTGTCACTTGAGTTACCCCTTAAATTTTTTTTTTTTGTTCTGCTGTTTAGATTATTTGGACTAAACTTAAACGCAGCACGAGTTTGTTTGTATGTAACGGAATGATTTGTATTTAGATCCTAAGTCCAGTTACTGTTAGGAAAAGTAGCATTTGTATTTGATTTCGTGACTTAATTCTTTCTAATTGTTGGATAGAAAATATACCTCATTCAACCTTAAGACTTGTTGTTAATGTATTAGCTACAATGAATTATGTTTTCAAATAGGGTTCAAAAGATAGGTTTAGGTAACATTTTTGTAAAAAGTAATTAAGTTTACATGTTAGTAGATTTTTTTTTTTTAATTTTATTGATCGTTAACTACAAATAAATCACTACAAATTATTTGTTTGATACCATCGTTATATACTTAATTTTCTTTTTCTCTTTTAGGGTTCTAGAATATATCTTTATATGAATCGATTTCTATAATAACAAAGTTATTTGGACTGAAAATTTTAATTTAATTTACTGACTTATTAATATGTTGGATAATATTGTCCCAGTAAAATAAATTAATAATTACAGTTATAATAATATTATTAGACTATGTTATTATCATAACAAAATGGCACTCCAGTCTAACTGTGGTACCAGAATTTTTTTTTCTATATATCATCTTTTTCTTAGGAACAATGAGAATTTGATGTGTAGATCTATTTAAATTATTATTTCACTTCATTTACTGTTCTCAAAATTAATAGTTGTAAATAAATTACTAAAAAATTATTTAATTAAAGATTATTTTTCGATATAATATTTATCCTCACATCTGAGATAGCCTTCTCCTTTATATCAACGGATTGGACTTTTCAAAACGGCCATGTGTTGGTGTTGCCAAGCATCTGGGACTGGTGGTGGTGGGTGTGCACGATGAGAGATGGTCCAAGCATGGCTTAATACCATTTTGTAATGTAGCTCAGCTCTCTTTTGTCAGGCCCAATTCCATTACAGGGCAGTGGGTCCACCTTTTTAAAAAAAGTCAGTATTTTCGAACGTTGGGAATTTCCAAACCCTTTCCCCATTAGGGGCTTTGAGACAAAACAAAAGTATCCAAACTTGCTCTTTAGGACGAAAATAACCTTTCGCAAAAGAGCCATGACAGCCATTTATGAAGGTTTTTTATTTTTATTTTTATCAATTGATGGTAATTTTTCTTTCAACTTGCTTTTTTAGGACCCAAAAAACCCTTTTGAAAAAGCCAAGTTAGTCATTTTCGGAATTTTTTACTAGAGCAATGCTACATAAACTTAAAAAATAAATTTAAAAACTAGACTTGATAATCTCAACCATTGATTTTACTGTAGTCCCAACATTTACTGAACTCACTACCTATTCAATGGTTGAGATTATCAAATCTAATTTTTAAGTCCATCTAGCATTACTTTTTTTACTATGATAATTTTTTATTTTGTTTTATAAATGTGAAACTTTCTAACTTGTGTACCTAACTAGTTTTTGTTGTCCAAAAAAAAAAAAAAAGGACTTGTTTTTAACCCATGCATTATAATGTAACGAGGTATTTGCAAAACAAATTTTTAATAAAAACTCTGAAAATGTATTTTTATGAATCAGATTTATATTGAAAACACATAAATTTAAGTTATACTTTCTTAAAACTAATATTAATTTGAAAAATAAGTTAGAAAATGCGATATTTATATAAAAATGAAAATCAAGCTACAAAGGACAATTTGATTCCTCATTTATGATGGTGATTAGATTGGCTATAGGTGGAGGCCCTCACAAATTAGAAAGATGTCCTTCCAAAATTTGAATGATGAAATTTTCCGGCGTATCTAATACACTAATGCCATGATTATTAATAAAATATTATATATTTATAATAAATATCCGTCATTTGTCACTTAATCAAAATTTTCTTCCTATAAACAAACAATCAGATATTAATTTTTTTTTTGGTAAACAAATTCAACTTATGTGTCACAAAAATTAATATCGTGACAATTTTTTAACGGGCATACACATTATTTAACAAGATCACGTAATATATAAAACTCGCTAAATTTTTTTCATTCAAATGGCACCATGGTGCTATGGTAGTGTAACGTTCTTGTGAGAAAATTGTCAAAAGGTGTCCGCTGTGATATGATCCTAGGGATTGCGTAGGCCGACAACTTTGTCGTCAATCAGGGGCCAAAATTTTCTCGTCGCCTATGAATTATTGGGACTGGCATTCTTCTAAGAATAGCACTTGTTGGATACTCATGTTCCTCACCTACCAGTCTTAAATCCTAAGTAACCTCTATTGATTGGGTCAAGGTTCAATGTAGTCAAGGAACAATAAAAAAAAAATGGTGATCGATTAAGATATACCATAAGGTTTGTGGTCGATATCAAACACCCACTTTGAAATTGAGTGCCCTATATGCTGATCTTTCACTGCAAATGTTAATAACAAAACAGCCTAGAAATGCCTTTTTTTTTTGTTATTTGCCATTGTTGATTATAAGTTATAGCATAAAACTCTGGATGCATACAATCAATCATAAATTACATGCATTTTGATACACGCATTTGTTCTTGTTTTAGATGTGATTAAAAAGTAAACAAATTCTTCACTGGTATAACTCCTACAAATTACAATGTCCATAATAACTGGACCTGTCTGTCAAGCAACCCAATAAATCAGAATTAGAAGTAGTTGCCAAGAAGTGGTATTCAATGAAGAAATCCCATTCATGGCATGGCCAAATAACAGAAGAGAGAGTACTATGAATCCCCCCCCCCCCCCCTTTCCGGCTCTCAATTCTCAACCAATAAAAATGATTGTATAGTAGTACACAGAGAGAGAAAAATCAAGGGCAGGCCTAACAAAATGAATATATTCCTGTCGCCTACCCTGAAGAGAATGTGTTGGGAAGTCCTAACCATTGAATCATGGTGAGCTCGGCTTGCATTAGTATAACTTGTTGAACCCAGCAGGGGGTGTAGATTCAACCAACTTGGGCATGAAAGCTTCTCTTTCGAGTGAAACCTGTAGACACGACATGAGCTTAACTAACGACACCCATATGATTGGTGAACAGCAGAAGGCGTAGCCAAAGATAGCGAGACCTCTCACAACCCCATTGGAGTACCAAGGGCAAGCCATGACCAGAAGGACGCCAAATATGCCAATACATGGCATTAGAACAGGTAGCATTGGCAAAAGAAAAGCATTGATTGCTATGCAGGAAAGTGCAAAGGCACCTAGCAGGTAAAGACTCCAGCCTAGAAGTGGATGAACTGTGTGAGGGATGACGAAGAATGGGACTATGTAGGCGGCAAGTATGGACCATATAGCAATCACTTTGAGGCCAATTTGTAGGGTGGAGATATTCTTATCTGCGCGGCGATAGCACAGCTTAGAGAGGGTGGGTCGGGCTAGACGTGTCATTGCCATTATTCCAAGGTAAAACACAGACTGGATCAACACTACTGGCATCTCTGCACCATACCTGTTGAAAAGAGAGTCTTGTATTGGTAAGATTGCTAGTGATAGCTTGAATAAAGTGGATAAAGCATTTGTGAAGATAACTAGAGAACATCTGGACAATAGTACTAATAAACAGAACTTTGCATAAATATGAGAGTAGTTAGGAAAGAGAGACAAAAATTTAATTAAAGGGGGAGAACAAATGAATATTTGCAACGATAACTAAATGAATGAACAGAGTCGATCCAACATCAAAAAAGCGACCACTAATGTAATGAAGCATTGAAAATTTAACATTCAAAATATGGATACTTCTTTATCCCGAAAACGTGGTAGCATATTTTAATAAAGTGCATAGTAGGCTCAATACAATGAATTATATTTTGCTGAATTAAGTTGCACAACCCTTTTGTTTCCCTTCAATAAGAAGAAGAATTGGTCACTGCACGAAGGAAAGCCCCCTCCCCAGAACACCTTACCAATCCAGACTCAAGCTCACATATCTAACCCCGAGGGTCAGACTCTGCCCTAGTCCACCACCTGGAGGGATTGTAAGGGAGGAAAGTAAAGCTACAGACAGTTGGAAACAATCCCTCTAGTATTTCTACCTGCACTGTCAAACGGTCCTAAACCGTCCATCGTAGTAACACAGTTAAATTCCATATCTCTGTTCAGATGTAGTTAATGCATGAGTGTGAAGATGCTTTTGGTCTTACCCGAGTGTCTGGCGTCGTTGTTCATGCCATTGGATGCCTAGTGGCAGGACGGGCCATGACCACCAATACCATGGTTTCAACCATGATGCACCAGGGAATGTAATCACACTGTTAGGCCCGCAGGGTACGCTCCATCGAAGTCTGAGATCTGGAGCCAATAAAAGTCAGCAAAACTTGCATCCATCCCCCCACCAAACAATTTAAAAAACAAAGTGACAATGCTTATGAAGACATAATCTAATTAGAGATTCCTTAGAACACAACTATAGTAAGGCCCAGAAGTCTCAACAGACCAGAAATTTAGTGTTACTTACAGTAATAAGTAGCGTCCATTTGGTAGCCCAGAGGAAGTCTGTATCTTCCATCAAGCTTTGTGCCATTGGGAGGTGGATGAAACATTGGCTGATCAAGTAAATCTGGGAAGTAGCTTCCTATAAAACCTTGGTCTGCACCATCTGGATTATCTCTCCCAATCTCCAGCTCATGAACCATGTCCTTGAATACCTCCATTGATGGCTGCAAGTCCAAATAAACATATGGTTACAAATAAAATATATTGCATAAATCAGCAGTCAAGAACTTGGTGTCTTTAAAAGAACAGAATAGTGAAAATGGCTCAAAATCATCAGAATGATTTCTAAGCGCCTATGTGCATGTTTTTTCAGAAGAAAAAGGGAGGTGAAAATATTTATCTTAGGCATTTAACTTTACAGAATGCTCCTATATATGCATCCAACTTCATCCTAAAGCATCTGGTCTTTCATTTTATTGAAAAACCACTTTAGCATTAGGATTTTCTATTTTTTCTTTTATGAGTGCATTCTGAAAAGCATCAAGAAAGAATAGCTTCTAATGATCTTTTTTATTTGCTTAAAAGCTTGTAATGAACTTCTATGATGCACATTTTGACCTGATTTTATGTTATGTTCACAAGTAATAAGTTCATTGGAAAGCCTAAAGGAATTAGGGAGAACATCAACAAATTACAAGGGGGCCAATTTAAAGATCTGCATTTCCTTAAATCATATGTCTTAGCATTAGCTTTTATACTTTTCTTTAGGTTTTCATATGCTTCACAGCATTGTTAACTCTATAGAACACCATCAAAAAATAAAAGAAAAAAAAGAACAGATCAAATTGCATAATGGGCCTTTAGCACTCATTCTCCACCAATTTGCCCTAGAACATACTAAAGTAACAGCTTGAGAAACCAGTGTCTTCACACAGAACTCCATGTTCTACTTTAAGAGTCTTTCTCGTAATGGAGGTTGTAAGAATATCTTAAAAAGTGTAAGAGGCAGATTTTACCTGCAATACAAAAGGCCAGTATGAAAGACGCAGGGGTTGATGAACACAGCACAAAACTGGCCACACTGGAACAACTCATCAGTTTTTTGGAGGAAAAGGTTGTCGGCATCAAGCATGACCACCCTGTCGTAGTCCACCAGGCTCCATGCATACAGTTTGTTTAGTGTTAACTTAAATCTCGAATCGAAATTGTTTTGGTCCCTGTATGGATTTTTAAGATTCTCCACTCTCACCACTCTTGCTCCATCTTCCTGTTCCCTGGACCACAATAAAAGAATCAATAAATTCATTAGAGACCTTCTCACAAGCAAAGTTTCTTTTCCATAACAAAACAGCATTGCTAGTAGTATTATACTACCCTTAGTCTATCAGGTTCAAATGAAAATCGGTGTGCGAACTATTAGTTTGCAATCGTCAAATATATGAATATATCGGACATGTTGGTCTGGGATTTGGGTACTGTTCATGATAAAGTCAATGAATTTTTAGTATTTTTATTAGGATTCAGCACAAACAAGGGTATTTTGCTATACAAGGCTTTGTATGCATATAAACACAAATATAAAAAAGGATCATATGTTATTGCATCCAGCTATCAAGTATAATGTCCAATTTGAAGATTCATAGACTTATGATATATAAATAACACAACATTGGATGATACTCGGCATTTGCATTGAGTTGATCATCAAAGTGCAAGAGGAATGGACATTCCTTCGAAGGAAACATCTGTGTACTTCCACTCTTAGATCAATAAAAATACACCACATCTACAATTTTCTTATGTTGTAATTTTGTAGTACTTTATCATTTTACAAATCATTCAATTCAAAATCAATGATCGCAATTAACAGAGGTACAATACCAAAGTCGATACCCTACCCTACCACTTACCCTTCCTTGGGAACTAAGGCTGTTCTGTGACTGCTTAGAGACAGATCTTGGGCATTTCCAAGAAACAACCTTTCTGTCAAACTTGCTTTTTTATTAGAGCTATATTCCAAGCATAGGACCCCAGGCATGTGAAGGATAAGAAGAGCAGCTTTTTGTTGGCTGTTCTTATTACTCTCATTTTTATATATGACTTTGAACCCGCCTCACATTTCTAATTTCAGAAGGAAGTGAGTCCATCGGGTCCAAGTCCTATGATTACTTCGACAACCATCACAAACGACAACACGATGGTAACCAATACTTTCTCTATTCCAAGTTTGTTGTTAAATATGTTTGTAAAGCATGATCAGACACCTGAGTATTTTTTATACACTAAAAATTCCCTAGTCCCCAGCAAAGATAGTCCGCCTGTCTTTGACCGAATCGAAAAGGGAATTTGCCAATGTGCAGTAGTTGACTTGGACATCCGAATCAAAATAAATAAATAATAGTAAAATCAACCGGGATTAATTCAAATTGGACCAAAGTTTTCTCAATGTTAACTCTTTCACAATTCACATATTAAACTATAAAATTAGATGATTATATTGGACAGAACTTTTACTACAATTTGGTCCTAAAGATCCGGACCCTAGAGATTCTTGATCTCATTTATTGATGCCCACCAATACAATTGTGCCAAGTGGACACCATGTCATTTTGTTGCCAATTGGAAAATCAACATGGATTGATTCAACATATTCTTAGTTCTCCTCTATCAGAAAAAAGTTCCAGAGGTCCGAAGACCACGCAGATTTAGATGCTCCCCGTCACTCAACATCGTTTACACATGGTCGACTTTCAAACCTTTGACGTTGAGCCACAAATAGCAAGGGTTTAACCATCGGAGACTGCCTGTCTCCGATGGTCCCACTCCGGTGGTCCCACGAACAGGCCCCACTCAATCTCAATATTGCGAAGCTTCCAGGAAAATCAAAAGGCCTTCAAACGTACGCCACAACACATGGAGTACATTAGCAACTACGAACAAAGAAACAGACAGAGATAAACAGATACTCATGCGCGCAGCTAGAGAGAGAGAGAGAGAGAAGTGCTTACAGAGCTTGGACCCAACGGAGAGGAACGTCGAGGGAGGCAATGACGACGAGATCGGCTTCGACGGCGAACTTGGAAAGAGATCTGAGCATCACTCGGATCGCAACGTAGAACTCGTAGTCTCTCGGAGTCCCCATGTACATCATCGTCGCATAAGCATTTCTGTGAAGCCTTTCCCCTCGTAACTCTCCACCTCTAAACGACGTCGCTTCAACTGCTACAACAGCCAAAACCAAGCAGACGAAGATCAAAAGCCCCAACCTCTTCGTTTTCTCTCTCCACCACCCCATTCCTTCTCTTCTTCTGAGCTTCTTTTACTGACCAAATAAACTGAACAAATCTTTCAAATCAAATCTCACCAAATCACCTACGAAAAATATCTACTTTCTCTCTCTCTCTGTTCTATCTCTGTCACTTTATGATATTTCCTTCTACGAAAAATATTGATGGCATTGTCAGCCTTCCAAAAGACTTTAAAGACGATCTGTCATAATCAATCGTCGTCGGTTGTACCTCAACGGGAAGTCAAAAACTATGCCTTCGGATGGTTGCAACAAAGCAACCTCCGACGAACTTTGATACACAAACACAAATGAATAGAATCAAAAAACCTTCTCTGAGATATCTCTGTATCTGTGTGTCGTAGGTTTAGAGAGAGAGAGGAGAGGAGGAGGATACTGGTTTCTGAGCAGAAGGCATTGGAGGGAGGCACTAAGCTTGAGATTAAATAAAGAACCCGCTTTTCTATTTTTTATGTTTTTAAATTGAATATAATTTAACTTTGTGTATAGCATGAGGTGTACCTTGTAAATTTGCGAACTATGATCTGTGCTGTTGGTTTTGATATGTTGACTAAATCGACGGTTGAAATTGCCTGCTGTGTATTATATATTACGCATGATAAATATTTGAAGCACATATAAGTGGGTACACTGTTGGACATTTGTGGGCCCAATAGTACTCCCAGTTGTAACCTATCGTGCCACATGGGAGGGAGGGAAAACCCTGGCACGCGCTATCCTGTGTGAAATATTATTTTTGGCCTTTCATTTTTTTTTATATATATGTACCGACGTACCTTTACAAGTACATAGATGGTGGTGAGATGTTTAAAATATATTTTTTATTTTTTTGTTAAATTATCGAATTCAAATAAATTTTTTTTACTAATACATCATGGGAGATATATAAAAAAAATTAAAAATTAAAAATGATCTGAATCCTTAATTACGAATACGACATAAATAATAAATATATCAAGTTGTGTCATTTTTTTTTAAATAGTGAGAAATGGTCTCAACAACACACATTATTATTTATGAATCAATTTTATTTTATAAACAGAAAAAAAAAAAAAAGAATTTATCCTCAATTTTGTTATCTTAATAAAGCTATTGTTTTTTCATGAAATTGTTCGATATATTCTTAGAATCATTTGTAGATATATATATACAATACCTCAAAACAGATTTGGGAGGTAATAAACGTAAAAAGAACAAAGAAAATAAGGAAAAAACAAAAAAAATATGTTATAATATATTGTATCTATAGGTAGCATTTACCTCTTATTAAGTAGATAGTCTTTTTTTGGTAAGTAAAAAGATGGTAAAATTCATATATAGCTTTTTACTACTTTAATTAGGGTCAAACTAAAATAATAATATAATAATTTCAATACCACGAGCTGGACCATTTCAGGCCAATTCACTTAATGTCTACCATGCCTGTGACTATAGTTTGGCATCCTGGGTATCAACGATAGAGTTTGGTGGTCCACATGCCAGGTCGGGGGAAGATGGGATATTTCGAGGAGGATGTTAAATCAACGATGCGTATTTTGGTATCAAAGACATTTCTGTCTCTGGCGAGACCATGTTTCTTAAGCACCAAGACTCTTGCTTTGACAAAATATGTGTCCTCGACGTCAAGGCATATGCCCTCGACTTCTAGGATACCTCCACTCTGAGGAGTCAAGTGTCTTCGGCTCCGAGGTATCCATTGAAACCTTGATCTTGTCACGATCTCTTGACTTCTGAAAAGACTACTAATTGACAGTTAAACATCTAAACTAGACTAGAAATCATGAGGGCATTCTGCATAATGAAGTCAGAACAGTAGAATGAACTTGACATTCAACCAAGGGGAGTCGAACACATGGCTTAAAGCGCAGAATAGGGGGTAAAAAGAAAGAATTACCCATGCTGACATACGGATGTTTCAGACAAACAATTAATGAATCCTTAAGCGATGAGACATCCACAGTAGCTTTGGGAATCGAGGAGTGAGAGCATTAAATGATGCTGGACCTGTGCATTTAATGTCCCCACATTAAAGAAAGAGCATTAGTGCTCGGCACACCGAACAATTAATAATGGAGCTTCCCCATGCAAAATAGGAGACACACTGTCACATTTTTGGATGCTACCTATTGTCTAGACTATCAGTAATGATGAGTCTTTGAAAGTATAAATAGTCTCTCAAAATACATTACAAAGGTACGCAAATTTATCCCTCGAGAGCAAGACAATGTTTTTTTCTTCTCTTCTCTCAAAGAACTGACTTGATTGTCAGATGGGATATTCCGAAAAACACTCCGACACCCCTCTAACTTCTTTTTCTGTGTGACAGGAGTATCTTGCGACTCTACCGGACCAGTTGGATAGCCCCTGAGATAATTCATCACCACTCCTTAGGCTCTTTCTGACTCTCTCAATTCATTCTTTGTTGTGGAATCTATCACATCGACGAGCTCGAGTTCACCAGGAAAAATATCTGTTCTCATTAGATCTATTGTGCAAAATCCGCCCGCACAAGGAACAGTAAGACAAGCATTGGGTTTTAAAGTGATTTTTTCGGGGGAGAAAATTGACATCTCTAACCTTTGATTAGAAAGAAAAAAAAAGTTATTAATCGAGTGAAAAAGTAAGAAGTGTGAGATGCAAAGTTGAAAAACTTCTTTGTGACCCGAAAGAGTAAGGGGTGTGTGTGTATGTGTAGCAACATAAACAAATAAGTAATTTATCAAGTTGAAGAGTTAAGTTGATTCACCTTAATGGAATGTCATGTTACTCTAGTTCGTACCGCTTGATGAAGAAGAATGTGGCCGGTACATCTTTTTGTGAATACAACTGTTCATTGGCTTTTGCGAGGCGAGGTTTGCATATATATACCTTAGGGCACGTAGTGTGATCCTCAGATAATATTGTTGTAATTTCTTAATTTGTGAAAATTTGAGAGAAAATATTTAATCGTTAGAGGCTATATTCTTTAGATATAATGTGACATTCTAAAAATTGACGATGTTACATTAATAACTTATCCCTAAATAAAATTTGACGTTGTAATTTCCCTTTTGCCTTTTCTCTTGTTATTGATAGAGCTGCTTTAGATATACCAGGCTGCCGAGCTGATTAAAGCTCGAACTGACTTGGAATCTTGTCAGGAGGTCAATCAATTTGTCTTTCAAATCAACAAAATCCCCTATTGTGTTGTAGATTTGTTATCTATGTAGATTTTGGTCTTAGTATCATCAGTTACATTTTATTGCTGATATTAATATTTTGTACTTTCGAATAGTAGTGGAATTAATCGGACCCATTTGTTCAATAACGTAAATGAATTGAAAAAAACTGTGATATTATGCATATGGATACTAAGCTACGAGTTTGAATTCGACTAAAATTGAGTTTAGATTTGTGGTATAGATTAAACACGACTTATTAAGGATAGATATTAGCTATGTTGGCTGCCAACAATATAAAAATTATATCATTGTCTTTCTGATTGCACAAAAAATTCAATAAATTACAAGTCTAGGTGAGCCACAAAATGTTTTTTTGGGCTTAACTCGTTTACTAAACGACCTATGCAATTGAGTCCAAACTCGATTTATTATGTAAATGAATGAACTATTTTAATTGACTTTTATCCGAATCAATCCTGGATTGTTTACAAGTTCAATTTATTTACAACTCTATCCTCCTCACAAAAAAAAAAATCATTCAAATTTGAACTTAAAAACTTTATTTCATCCCTCAATCCTCATTAGTAAAAAATTAAGTATCTCAACCAAAAACATTCCAAAAAAGAATAAAAAATGAACTTGTTTCCAAACAACCCATCTATTTTTTCTCAACTTCCAACGTTGTTGTATTCATACAATTCTACACCATCAGGTCAAAAGTTCTAATTTTACCAACTTTGCTCTATCCACATAATACTACATGATTCGTGCTTAGTGGAAGAATAATATGATGCTTGAATAAGGGCATGCAAAGCTTACTAGTATAAAAAAGTTTGTTCAATGCAAATATGCTTCAAATTCTTCTTAATGAATTTCTATACGAGATTATCAATTGGTCTAATTGCCACTGTCTTTATTATTGGACTTTAAAGTCTAAGTTCGAATCTCATCGTTCTTCTCCCTGTCCCTGCAATAGTGTCTGAACAAGAATTCCTGCTTAAAATTCATAAAAATTCATGTACATAAATATATAATTTCTCTGTCTTCATACGTGTTGAAGTCTTCTGCAAACGCGTTGTTCAAGCGTGTGCTCTATCATTATTTTCATTAGAATAGTCTTGCCAAGAGTTTAGTATGAGACTTTACAGTAAGCCTACCTTACACACTCACATTCAACCACCCCCGACTCAGCACACGCACACGCACATATATGCATGTATTGGTCATCTAGCTTACATATATGGACTCAATTATGGTATTAAAAAAAATGGGTATTGGATTTTTAAAATTTATTACTTTAATGGATATTTTTATAATTTTTGTGTATCATTTTATAACTAAAAAAATTATTATTTTTGCGAACAATTTATTATTTTTGTGAGTATTTTTATCACTTTTTTTTATGCCCGACTATTGATACAAATAACTCAATTTTGACATGTATTAAAAAAGCATTTTATTTTTTTTATTCTTTTTTAATCTAAAACAGAATGATTTATCTTACTATTACCTAGTTTTTAAATTGGTTTTGCTAGGATATGGATCAAGTGGATTTTTGACTTATGGGAGATCCACAAAATGGATTTGTTTGAGGGAAATCCATGTCCAACTGAATATAACACAATAAAATGACTTGAATATGACACCAACTAAAACTAACACGATTCGAACATGACATTATATGTCTTGATTATCATCTCTAGTGGGGTGCATGTATATTGATGAGCACTGGGTTAAGCTCAATTCATGAAGTAAGCCTAAATTAGCTACAAAGTAGATTAAGTTCAACTCAAAGATTTGGCCTAGTCCAAAATTTAAGGGATCCAAGAAGTCAGCATATGTGAGGAGAAATCATTGAGATAACCACTCTCAAAGATCAAGACTATATCTAATTGTACATATTCTTAGCTATAGTCATCTACTCCAAAAGAGTAGTCATCTATCTCTTCACGTCATAGTTCTATGCGTATAAATTATAAATTCTCTATGTATGAGGGACACACACCTTTTACATAATTACGGGTGTTCACCCTACTCTATAGGTAGGAAATATGCTATTCTGTTTTCCTACCCGATACTTTGTGGAAGAGTTTTTTCTTGGTCTATCCTACCCGACA